CTTTTCCCCCTGCCAGCCCAGGCCACCGTTCCTCACTGGCAGGGATCCTCCCGGCTTTTCCCCCTGCCAGCCCAGGCCACCGTTCCTCACTGGCAGGGATCCTCCCGGCTTTTCCCTCTGCAGTGTTACCAATTAGTGCTTCTCCGTCACTTTACTGCATAAAACGAATCCGGTGTGTTCGGCTTTCTTAGTGCCTAAGATACGTGAGTTCAATTTCGCTAAATCGGGTTTTTATTATCATGAGTCTGTCCTCCTATAGAAAATGTGAGCGTGCTCTGGAAGGAAGATGAAGGGTCAGAAGTTTGAGTACTTTTTGGGAGGCCGAGGCGGGTGGATCACAAGGTCAAGAGATCCAGACCATCCTGGTCAACATGGTGAAACCCCGTCTCTACTAAAAAATATACAAAAAATTAGCTGGGCATGGTGGCGCGTGCCTGTAATCCCAGCTACTCAGGAGGCTGAGGCAGGAGAATTGCCTGAACCCAGGAGGCGGAGGTTGCAGTGAGCCGAGATCGCGCCATTGCACTCCAGGCTGGGTAACAAGCGCGAAACTCCGTCTCAAAAAAAAAAGAAGTTTGAGTACTTTTTACCTTTTTGGGTGACTGATCCTGCGTCTGTAGTGTGATTAGACTCTCACGTGTCTTCCCATAAGCACGTGGAGGCGGGTCTGACCCAGCTCCCAGCCCTACTGCTCCAGGGGGCTGGAGGGGGACGTGTTCCCACTCTCTGCAATAAAGGAGAGCGGCTGGGGCTTTGGCCAGCGCGGCCCTGGGTGAGCCAAGCTGCAGAACCTCCCGAGGACTCGGGCCGCCAGGCTGTGCTGCTGGAATCACCTAGGAAGAGAATTGCTGACACGTGCTGGAGGCTGGGTTGCTGGCACGCAGGGTAAACTGGATGCTGCTCTGTGTGGGGGGTAAATATGTGCCACCGTTATGTAGAAAGGAATTATCAGGATGATGGCGATTTGCAAGTTGGCAGCTTTTGCAGAATGTAAACCTGGGCCAAGTTGCGGAGTATTTTTGATGTCACGTTGTGCCTCCTGGGTAATGGCAGAGGGAGGGTGGGCCTCCGTCAGCTGTGCATGCTGTATCACCGGGCACTCCCATCACCCCCATGGGATTGTGGGCAAGAGGAGCCACAGCTGAAGCTCATGCTGAGAAACAAAGCGCTTTGTCTCAGACCCAGGGGTCTCGTGTCTTCCGCTGCGTCCATGGTACCACGGACTCACCTGTGGGTGGGCGGCCAGTCACGGCACCCACTTCTCCTGCCAGCGGAAGTGTACAGATTGTCATGGAACAAGCTATGGACCACAGGACCTGAGCAGACACATTCTGAGGGCTTCCAAGAAGGGTTTTCCTCCCAAAGAGAGGGAGGCACCCAAGGAGCCATGCCTCCTTCCCTCACACGGATGCTGCTTTGAGACAATGTGATGCTCACCACTGGTGTGGCCCCATCACCAACCCACCCAGATGGCAAAGAAAGACAGGCCATGCCTGGGCCCTCCATGGCCAGGTGACCCCCAAGGGCTTGCCCCAAACTTCCATGGAGTGGCCCGACGATGTCCTCACAGCTACACTCTGTCGTGTCCTTGACACTCTCGTTAATCTAGGGGAGCCCACTGGGCTGTGGCCTTCTTGGCACAGCTGTCGCAACACCTGAATTCCTGGTGGTGGTGGCATTACGGTGGGCATGCATACTGCATGGCCAGGCCAGGCCCCCAGGCCTCAAGTGTGTCAAGGCAAGGAGCACACACGGGGGTTTTGGTGAGCATCTCAGACAAGGCAGAGCCCTGTCATCCGGAAGTGGGGTGTTCCCTTTCCACGACAGCTCAAGCTGGGAGAATGGCACACCCCATTCCAGGGCAGCCCCACAGGCCACTGCGTATCCAGAGACAGGGTGGTCTTCTCTGCCCCTTCATGGACTCTCCTGTCCTCAGAGGGCTAAGGGGAAGACCAGGCAGGCAGCTTCTGGCCCTGCTGGGGAGGCAGGGGCTGCAAGGCAGGGAGACCTCGGGTGGTGTAGAGGCAGGCCAGGCCATAAGAGGGAGCAGAGAGCCTGCAGACAGCCCATTTCCCGGACAGGACCTCCGCTGCCCAACTTCTCTCCCCCACACCCGTGCCTCCCTTCCCAGCCGAACCAGGCTGGAGCACCCAGCTGCATCTCAATCCACACTGGTCAGCACCCCGGCCCCAACTCCTCCCCCTGAGCTGCCTACTTCTCCCCCGGGCCCTTTGTGCTCCATTTGCTGGTGAGCCGCCCACCGCAGCCCTCCCAGGCACCAACACACTCAGCTCTCCGCCTCCTGGCTGCTGCACCTACAGGCCTCCCTTGAGGCCAGCTCCCAAGTCCACCCCAAGCCCATCTGAGGAGGCTGCCCTGCTCCTCCCAGGCCCTAACCCCTCAGTGTGGCTGTCCCCAGGTGTCTCTGCCTGGGTTGGGCACCAGGCCCCAGCGCAGGGCCAGCAGGTAGTGGGCATTCATCAGGATTCACATACTGACCAGGAATCAGTGAGGGGACAAGGGGGCCGGCCGGCTTCTCTGCTGAACCTGGCCATTGCAGGTCACCTCAGGAAACTTGAGAAGAGCAGGCTGCAATGCAGCCAGGTCCCCATCCTGTTCCCAAGGGACATCTCAGAAACCTCAGGCCACGAGTCTGGCAAAGGCCTACTGGTTCCCAGTCCTGCCGTAGTCAGAGCCATGGCTGTTCCTCATCATGGAAACTGGGTGCCAGGCACAGGCCTGGGCAAGGGTGGCGCTTGATGTCTGCTCCAATGCCCTCAGAGTCTGTCATAGGGGCCAATGGGCCATTGAACCACGGTGGAGCTGGTGGAGCCAGGTCCCTGGCCCCACTGGAAGCGGAGGACCTAGGACTTGAACCTTCACTGCTGGGGATGTGAGAGCAGAGGTAGGGGGCCTGTGCCAAGGAGCACGGAGATCAGGGGCCACCCCTGAACAGGCCAGGAGGAGTGGGGTGTGTGCAGGGCAGGTTGCCTGGTGGGGTCTTCGAGCCCCAGGACCTTCCCTGCCCTGAGAGTAGCTAAACCAGGGGAGTAGCTGCGTCAGTGGAGTAACTGTGCCAGGGGAGTAGCTGAGCCAGGGAAATAGCTAGGCCAGAGGATTAGCTAAGCTAGGGGAGCAGCTAAACCAAGGAAGTAGCTAAACCAGGGGAGTAGCTGCGCCAGTGGAATACCTGCACCAGTGGAGTAGCTATGCCAGGGGAGTAGCTAAACCAGGGGAGTAGCTGTGCCAGTGGAGTAGCTATGCCAGGAGAGTAGCTGAGCCAGGGGAGCAGCTGAGCCAGGGGACTAGCTAAGCCAGGGGCAGCCATCCCACCTCTGACAAGGGGATATGGGCTTTCACAGGCCAAGCTGGGCCTACCACCTCCCAGACCATAGCCAGCAGGGAAGAGACCATGGGTCTTCAGGAAGGGTCGGAGCAGGATGTCAGGAGCCCAGAGCCCCTCAGCCCCACCAGCCCAGGGCCAGCTGCCCATCTGTTCCCATGGGATTTGCTGTGGGTGCCAGAGCCAAGAGGGCTGAGGGCTGGTCTTCACCCAGAAGACCCCTAAGACATGATGGGGCCGGCGCTGGCTTTGGCCGGAGGAGGACGTGGGCTACAGTCCGGACACACAGAATGAAGCTCGCTCCTCGCCCACAGCCCCAGACTTCACACCACACTCCCAAGAAGGTCCAGGGACCCCCCACATCCCACAGCAACTCCCAAGGCCCCTTTTCTCTCTCCATGCCACACCTGGGGCCTTTCCAAGGCTGCTCCTTGCCCCTCCCCAGCCCCAACCACCTGACCCCTGACCCCCGACCCCCACCCCCCGACCCTGCAGAGTCTTCACTTCCCAACATGATCATTAGTGGTCTTGGCACAGCCCAGAACCGGGTACCTCAGGCCTCCTACCCAGGCCAGTTCCCGGTCCCCACACAGAGGGGCTGCTAGGGACATGGCCGGAGGTGGGCCGAGGCATGGGTTTGGAGGTGGGCAGAGCGCTGGCCTCATCTGACCTGGGCAGGGAGGTAGTCCCCGTGCACCTGAGGACAGTGGTACTGAGGCCAGTTGCCTGGAAGGCAGGCAACTCCCAAAGGCCAGGCCCCAGGTGGCATCAAGCTGGGGGACGAGGACTGTGTGGGGCTGGGGCCACCACCAGCCACACCCTTAACTGCCGCAGTTGTTGGGAGGGGTGCGTGGGGAGGACCCGCTTGAGCAGCCAGCTGCACTCCCCTCAACGGTTTTAGGCCCGCATGGCAAAACCTGCCACCTGTGGGCCATGGAGTGCAGCAGTCCGGGCAGTGGACTGTGCCAGGAGAGATGTGTGTGCTCATCACCGGCTCCCAGGGCGGGCATCCTCACGCCACCCTTTCAGTGGCCTCACAAAGGGCCCCTCCTCCCCAGGTGCTACGGACTTTCCTGGGCCACGTGGGTCCCCAGGGTCACATCACAGGTGCAGGGGCCCAGGGGGAAGGCTGGTGAGAGACCCCTTGCAGATGGCCTTCCGGGCAGATACCTGGGCTGGGGGCTGCCAGTTCCCCAGTGCTGGGGCAAGGCCAGGATGCTGGGGTGGGTGAGGCTCGGTGCTGTTCCTGGGGCTGCGACCTGGGGGTGCTACATCAACTTGGGAGCACCTGCTGGAGGAGCCCACGAAGAAGGTGGGTTCCACGGTGGGGGAGGAACCAGGGATGCAGGGACACCGGCACTTGGATTGGGAGGAAGCAGGGACCAGGACACCCATGGGGCTGGGGGAAGATGGGGGTCTAGGTATCCCAGAAAAAGAAGTGGAACACTGAGGCTGGGGAGGAAGGAGGAGCTGGCCCTGAAACAGAGTGGCGTGGCCCCCAGGAGCTCCTCAGGCCCCGGGGGGAGGGGAGCAGCCCAGCCCCACCAGCATCCCACACTCAGAGGCCAGCATCTCCCCCGCCCTCCACACAGCCCTCCTGGCTCCTGGCCGCCCAGCCTGGCTGGTAAAAACAGGGACACAGGAACAGGCAAAGCAGTGCGGCCTTGGATACAAAACTGTAAATAGAGTCTTTAAAATGACAGAGGCCTCCTTGGCCCCAAACTCCGAGCCAGAGGCCCCCACTGCAGGAGCAGCTCTCCGCCCACACTGCCCTCCCTTCCAACCCAGGCGGCCCAGCAGGCAGGGACCGGGCCCCTCTGCTCTGCTCCGGCCCAGACCTTCCAAACGGCCGCACCCGCTGGGGCGGGCTGGTGGAGTGGGGGCTGAGGATCCGCGGTCCGAGGGATTCCTGAGATGAAGAAGTGGCCGCGGGACCCCAGGCACGGGCACTCGAGGCACCTGCCCCTAGGGGAGCCCGCCCCCACCCCATCCCATGCAAACCGCGCGCCCCAAGCCAGCCCGGTTTCTCTGTGCCGCAGAGGCAGGCCCTGTCACGTGTCCAGGGGGTCACGCGTGGGCGAGGACCCGTGGGGACGCCCGGGCGGGCCGTGCAGCGGCTGAGGCGGCGGCACAGAGTTGCGCTGTGGGGGCGGCGGCTGCAGCTCCAGCGCCAGCGTGGGCGGCGGGAAGTCGCGCACCTGTCTGCGGTACTCCAGGAAGGTGCAGGCCTTGGTGGCGAGCGCCACCACGTTTTTGCCGACGAAGATGGCCGAGACGCGGCTGTCGCGGAACAGCGCCATGTTGGCGGCGCGCGCCAGCACGGCCACCACGTTGACGGTGGCGAGGCTGAGCACCGGGTAGAGCATCATCTTCTGTGGCGCGATGTGCTCGCCCTGCATGCTGACCTCGCTCAGCGCCACGCACGGCAGCACCAGCAGCAGCATGTAGCAGTAGAAGAAGGTGAGGCCCTCGGCCCACAGCGGCAGCCCGGAGCGCGGCGGCTCCCACAGGCTGGCCTGCATGTCCAGCAGGTCCAGCAGGTCCAGCGCCACCCAAAACAGGCGGCCGCGCAGGTCCTCGCGCTTGCGGAAGGTGCGCACGTACTCCATGCGGTCCAGCGCCACGAGCAGCAGGAACAGGCCGGGCACACACACCGACAGCAGCAGCGTCAGCGCCTTGCGCGCCACGGGGTCCGCCGCGCCACGCCGCGCCGCTTTGTAGTTCTGGAAGATGAAGTAGAGCTTGATCTCCAGCACGAAGATGTAGAGGAACCACAGGATCATGGCGTAGCCGCGCTTGGCCGTGCGCACCTCGGCGCCCACCCACACGGCCACGTAGCGCAGCACCAGCAAGAAACACACGTCGCCCACCAGCACGATGATGCACACGCCGATCTTGCGCGGGCCCTGGTTCTGCTCCACCAGGTACGCGTCCATGACGGCCATGCTGCCCATGATCACCAGCGTGGTCAGGCACACGTGGCGCCGGTCCGGGGGCGGCAGCACCATGGTCGGCTGCCGGGCCCCAGCCTGGGCGCGCACGGCCCCCACGCCAGGCGGGACGAGGCCCTGCGGCGGCGCTCAGCCGGCCGGCATGGCGCGGCGCGGCCCGGCGAGCTCGGAACCTGGGGAGACCCGAGGAGACAGGGGTCAGTGTGAGGGCTTGGGCGGCCTCCCCCCGCCCCCACCCGGTGCCTCCCACCCGCGCGGCCCGAGGCATCGCGCACGCCTTCGCCCATGCGCGAACCCGCAGCCGCGAACCGCGGCGAGGCCTCCAGGGGGAGCTGCTGCCTCGCCAGAGCACCCGGGCCTCGTTCCCGCCGCCAGGAAGGAAACGGAACGGACGCGTTTTCTGCCCGCCACGCGCGTTCCCGGAGCCCGGGGCGGGGGGTTGTCCCTCCTGGCTCCGGCGGCCCAGACCCCACGCACGCGCTGCTGGCCCCAAGCCGTTCCCGCGGGGTTTCGGGCGTCCCTCTCCCCGCCGCCACCGCACTGGGCGGGGAGGCGGGCCTGCCCCTCCGCTCTCGGAGTGCCAGAGGAGGCCCCGGCCCTTCCCCGGCTTTCTGATCTGGGACCAAGAGTCACCCAGGTCCGGATGCATCCGTCCCACAAGCCTCTCCGAGCCTCCCGGTCCCTGCCTGGCAGCCCCCACGCCCCTCCTCCCTGCGCGGGCCGGCTCGGTCCACCCTCTGGGGCGCGTGACCACTGCCTGCCCTGATCCCCATGGCTCCGGATGCCCCTGGCGAGGCGCTGTCCCCCACCCCCTGCCCCGGCACAGCCACCCTGCTCTGCTCCTGTGGCCGGGGCGCTGCCTCTGGCTGCCCTCGAGTCTCGGGAAGCCGGTCCACCAAGGCCCGTCGGACTCCCACGGCCCCTGCACCTCTGTCCCACACCTGGCACTGGGTCATGGCCTTGCCGTTGGATTCCCACACCGGACTGTGGGTCCACACAGCTGGGCCTGCGCACACCTGGGTGACGATAGAGGCCCGCACGCCCTCACCCGCCCCACAGTCACTGGCAGGCTCACTCCCCGCCCGCCCCCCTCCACACGCCCCAGGCCTGGGGCTCCGTTTACTGCCCTGTCTAGACAAAGCCATAAAATTTAATGTCCCTGTGACCGTCGGGCGCTCGGACTGCCCTGGTGCCACCGCAGCCCCCACGGATGCGGGAAGGCGTTGAACTCTGCACTCCCGCCTCCTGCCCCCACCAGCACTCGCCGCCCAGGGTCCCCACAGCCACACACAGGACTCCCCAACCCTCGGAGCTCTTACGGGTCGCGCAGAAAGTGCCTTGGGGGTCCTCAGCCCACGCCCCTGCCTCCAGGGTTCCCCGCGCTCCGGGTCCCACCGGGACACTCACGTCCACTGGGTTGACACGTCTGACCCAGGAAGCCTTCTCTGGGCCCATTCCAGGCCCACCGGGGCCTCCCCTAACTGCAGCCGCAACCTGAGAATTTCCTCCCTCTGCGCGCTCAGCCGGGCCAAATAAATAGCGGAGGAGCCGCGGCGCCGCTCACCCTTTCCGGCCGTGCCTGCGGCCCCTCGCCCCACTCCGCGGCTGCTCGATCCTCAGCCACTTGGCAGACGCGGGCCAAGGGCCGAGGGGCTCTGCACTGGCGAAGGGAGACGGACTCCAGCCCCTAGAGGAGGCCCTGCCCGGGGAAGCCAGAGCCCGGCTGGGCCACCCCTCCCTAGGGACCTGGCCCCAGGCCCACCTGTCCTGGGTCTGCTGGGCCCCGGCCGAGGCCCCCTCCTCCCGCTACGCCCCGCGGCTCAGACCTGGCACCGACTCTAAAGCCTCCAGGCCCTCCCCTGCTGCCCGCGCCCCCTAAGGACCCCCGCCCCAGAACCACCCCCTCGGAGCCCCGGGGAAGAGGGGCGGGGAGGGGGCCGCTGCGCTCCCGCCGCGGGCCGGTGCAGAGCTTGGGCCGCTCCCAGCAGGCTGCGTCTCCGTTTCTCCCCACAAACCTTCCCCACGCAGGGCCGGTCCCCGCCACCCCGCCGGCCCCAGGCCTCACCCCTGCCGCCTAGGCCCCCGCCCCGCCCCGCAGCCCCCACGGCCCGGAGGCGCAGGGTCGCCCAGGCCCGCCGCGCGCCCATCCAGTGCGCCCGCGCCCGCGCCCGCGCCTACCCCGCCGCCCGCAGATGCTGCGCCGCTCCGGGGCCCGCCCGCCGCGCCTCTGCCGCCACCGCCCGGGCCGCGCCGGCTCCTCCCGCCGCGCCCCTCCCGCGCCCGCGCGGCGCCGCCCCCGGCCCAGAGGCCCCGCCCCGCGCCCCTCGGCCCGTGAGCCCCGTGGGACCTGGGGGCCTGGGAGCGCGGGGGTCCCGGCGCCCCGCCCCCTCCGCAGCACCGGTTGCCACGGCGACAGCACTGAGCGGCGGCGCGCAGGGCAGGTGGCTCCGAGGAGCAGGACGCCCTCGTGCACCCCCGGGGGGCTCGGGGTCCCGTCTCCACCCTCCTCACCCACCGCCCGGAATCGCCGGGTCCGCTCAGTGCCCGCCGCGCTCTGAAACTCCGCTGCAGCCCCCTGGAGACAGACTGTCTCCGACCCGACTCCGCCGGACGACTGCCCCCCGGCCCGGGAGCTGGCGGGGACGTAGGCGCAGGGCTGGCCGGGCCGGCGGGGCCCTCCGTGCTGCCCTCTGTCCTCTCTGGGGAGAAATCCAGCCTTCTCAGGACAGGAAAGGAATGATGAGCGGCCCCCATCTTCCGCAGCGCATCAAGGAGGAAGCCAGGGTTTGGGGACTTTGGCGTCATTTTGTCACTGAGGGGACACTCACTGAGCCCCCCCTCCCCCCCGCCACATCCCGTCCATCTCTGGGGCAGAGGCTGTCCCGCGTGAGCCAGAGGAGAATCCGAGGGCCCCTTCTGCCTGCCTGCCCTCCTCCCAGAACTGCTCTCACTTCCCTCTGACAGGAGAAGACTGAGGGTCAGAGAGGTAAAGGGACACCAGATTTGGGGGAAAGGCTAGAATTTGAGGCACCACTCAACTGTTAGTGAACTTCCAGGTTCTCTTCCCGTATCCCCGGCCTGGACTCAACTCAGCCTGAAGGCCAGAAGTGGACCGAGAGCTCTAGAAGTCCCCTAGTCCCAGCCAGGGGACAGCAAAGAAAAAGGTCGCTTCTGCTCCCAGGGAATGGGACAACTCCCCTGGGGAGGTCAGGGTTCTGGAGGACAGGGTTTTTTTTTTGGTTTGTTTGTTTTTTGGGGGTTTCGTACTGTTTTTATTTTACTCTTCTCCATTCTCTGGTGCCCCAGCCCCTAGGTATCCCATCAAAGACATGGGGTTGACAAGCACCTAAAACACTGAGGGAGAAGAACCTTCCTTTCCAGCCCCAGGAGATGTGGTCCTCGGGGCCAGGACAGACGGTGGACAGGGAGGAGCACTAGACAGCAACCCAAGAAGCCTCGAAAGCCGTGCATGTACAAGTGTGACCCTCATTCACATCCCAAAGACTGAGCACTGAACAAAAGGACAGGGCACTGCCCACGTCCCACACTGGCCACTGGGTAGTGCACACAGGAGACAGATCTGAGTCCTACTGCAAAGGCTTTGGAAACAAAACTGATGTGGAAGGCAGGACCGGCAGGAGCCTGTTTGAACTTGTGGCCTGAAACCAACTAGGTTCATTGCGTGATGAAACAAAATATCAACATTTTCAATGGGGATTTAAATAAGACCGGACTCATAACATATGTCTAAATGTGCAGGATACAATCTAAAATTACTCTGCATGTGAAGAACCAGGAAATCCGACCGGCAAGACAGAAGGCAATAGCAGACACCAATGCCAAGATGACACAAAAACCCTCAACTACATAACAGCAAGTGGAATCAAGCAACATTAAAACACACACACACACACCACGACCAAATGGAGTCGAGCCCAGGAAGGCAAGGCTAGTTCAACATGTGAAAATGAATCCAGGTGGGGCCGGGCGCAGTGGCTCACGCCTGTCATCCCAGCACTTTGGGAGGCCGAGGTGTGTGGATCACGAGGTCAAGAGATCGAGACCATCCTGGTCAACAAGGTGAAACCCCGTCTCTACTAAAAAAATACAAAAATTAGCTGGGCATGAGGGTGGTGGGTGCCTGTAATCCCAGCTACTCGGGAGGCTGAAGCAGGGGAATTGCTTGAACCCAGGAGGCAGAGGTTGCGGTGAGCCGAGATGGTGCCATTGCACTCCAGCCTGGGCAACAAGAGCGAAACTCCGTCTCAAAAAAAAAAGAAAGAAAGAAAATGAATCGATGTGATCTATCCTATTAGTCTCCAGAAGAAACCACGTGATCACCTCAATCAATCCAAAGAATGCGTTTGACAGAATCTGACCCTCATCCGTGATAAGCATTCGCAGCAAACTAGAAAGCAAAGGGAACATGCCTAGTCTCATAAAGAGAATCTACAAAAAGCAACAAAAACAGCAGGCCAGGCATGGTGGCTCACCCCTGTAATCTCAACACTTTGGGAGGCCAGGAGTTCAAGACCAGCCTGGGCAACATAGAGAGACTCCATATCTGTGATTTTTAATTAAAAAAAAAAAAAACCGGCCAGGTGCTGTGGCTCATGCCTATAATACCAGAATTTGGGGAGGCCAAAGTGGGTGGATAGCTTGAGCTTGAGTTCAAGATCAGCCTGAGAAACATGGTGACACCCTGTCTACAAAAAAGACAAAACAGTTTGGCTGTGTGTGGTGGCTCACCCTGTAATCCCAACACTTTGGGAAACCGAGGTGGGTCGATCATGAGGTCAAGAGATCAACACTATCCTGGCCAGCATGGTGAAATCCTGTCTCTACTAAAAATACGAAAAATTAGCTGGGCGTGGTGACACACACCTGTAGTCCCAGCTACTTGGGAAGCTGAGGCAGGAGAATCACTTGAACCCGTGAGGCAGAGGTTGCGGTGAGCCGAGATCATGCCACTGCACTCCAGCTCGATGACAGAGCGAGACTTCATCTCAAAAAAAAGAAAGAAATCAAACAAGGCCTAAATATATGCAGAGGCATACTGTGTTCCTGAATTAGAATGAATATAGTTAAGATACCGATTCTCTCCAAAACGACTACAGATTTAATGTAATTTCAATTAAAATCCCTGCAGGAAATTTTATGGATACAGACAATCTTATTCTGAAATGTATACAGAAATGAAAAGGAACTAGAGTTGCCAGAATAATTCTGGAAAAGAAGGGAAGGAGTTGGAGGGTTCTCACTGATGGATGTTAACCCACTGTAAACCTGAACCAGTTGAGACAGGCTGCACTGGCAGAGGGTCGGCCAGCAGCTCAGTGGAACAAGCGCACAAGCATGGCCGCGGATTTCTTAACAGCCTTATTGAAGTATAATTCAAACTCCATAAAATTCATCCATCTGGCCGGGCACGGCGGCTCACGCCTGTAATCCCAGCACTTTGGGAGGCTGAGGCAGGTGGATCACGAGGTCAAGAAATTGAGACCATCCTGGCCAACATGGTAAAGTCCTGTCTCTACTAAGCATACAAAAATTAGCCAGGTGTGGTGGCAGACACCTGTAGTCCTAGCTATTCGGGAGCCTAAAGCAGGAGAATCGCTTGAGCCTGGGAGGAGGAGGTTGCAGCGAGCTGAGATCATGCCATCGCACTCTAGCCTAGGCAACAGAGCAAGACTCCATCTCAAAAAAATAAAGTGTGCAATCAGCCAAGCACAGCAGCCCACTCCTGTAATCCCAGCGCTTCAGGAGGCCAGGCAGGAGAATTGCTTGAGCCCGAGTTCCATACCAGCCTGGGTAACATAGCAAGACCTCATCTCTACAAAAAATAAAGAGCAGGTAGGGGTGGTGGGGTATGCCTGTAGTCACACCTACTTGGCAGGCTGAGGTGGGAGGACCACTTGAGACTGGGAGGTTGAGGCTACAGTGAGCCTCGAGAGCTTGGGCAATAGAGTGAAACTCTGTCTCAAAAAAACAAAGACATACAGGGTAGTCATGGTGGCTCACACCTATAATCCCAGCAATTTGAGAGGCTGAGGCAGGCAGATCACTTGAGGTCAGGAGTTCAAGACCAGCCTGGCCAACATAGTGAAACCCCGTCTCTACTTAAAATACAAAAATTAGCTGGGTGTGGTGGCGCATACCTGTAATCCCAGCTACTCAGGAGGCTGAGGCAGGAGAATTGCCTGAACCCAGGAGGCAGAGGTTGCGGTGAGCCGAGATCGCGCCATTGCACTTAAGAGTGAAACTCTGTCTCAAAAAAAAAAAAAGATACAGAAATTAGCCAGGTGTGGTGGCAGGAACCTGTAGTCTCAGCTACTCAGGAGGCTGAGGCAGGAGAATCGCTTGAACCCAGGAGGCAGAGGTTGCAGTGAGCCGAGATCTCACCACTGCACCACTCCAGCCTGGGTGACAGAGTGAGACTCATCTCAAAAAAAAAAACAAAAAAGAATCAAAGAAAAAGTGTACAGTTCTACAATTCAATAATTTGTGGTATATTTACACATGTCGTAATCAATTTTAAAACATTCTCATCATCCCCAAAAGAAGCCCCAGACCAGTAGCATTCATCCCCCTTTCACCCCCAACTCCTTCCCAGTTTTCCCAGCCCCTGGCAGCTACTAATCTACTTTCTATCTCTACAGATTCGCCTTTTCTGGAAGTTTCATGCAATGGGATCATACCGGATGTGGTCATTTGAGACGGGCCTAATCTGCTAAGCACGATGTGTTCAAGCCACGTTCGTGTCACACCATCTCGTGATTCCTTCCTTTTTATTGCAAATACTGTTCCATTCTTCTACCTCTTTAGCAGTTCCTGGGCATTTGGGTGTTTCCATCTTTTGGTTATTATGGACGTGGCTATGAACACTTGAGTACAAAATTTGACGTGGACCTGCGTTCCTTTCCCTTAGGTAGCCCTCTAGCCGTGGAGTGGCCAGGTCGTATGTAACCCTGTGTTAAACATTCTCGGGAAGGGCCAACTGTTTCCAGATCATGTTGCATTTCCATCAGCAGTGTGTGAAGATGCCAGCTCCTTCACATCCTTGCCAACACTTGTTATTGTCAGCGTTCTTCATCGTAGCCACCACAGTGGGTGTGAAACGCTGCCTCACGGTGGCTCTGAGTTGCATTGCCGTGACAGCTAATGGCACTGGGCATTGGGTCATGTGTGTATTGGTCATTTGCATAGCTCCTTCGGAGAAATGTCTGTCCAAGTCCTTCACACATTTTTCCATCCGGTTTTTATCCTCTTACTGTTCCATTCTAAGAGTTCCTTATATGTTCTGCATACAATTCTCTTATCACATACATGATTTGCAAATGTTTTTCCCATTTTGGGTGTTGTCTTTTCAACTTTTTTTTAGACAGTCGTGCTCTGTCATCCAGGTTGGAGTGCTGTGGCACAATCTCAGCTCACTGCAACCTCTGCCTCCCAGGTTCAAGCAATTCTCATGCCTCAGCCTCCCACGTAGATAGAAATGGTGGTGGCACCCGCCACCACACCCAGCTAAATTTTGTGTCTTTAATAGAGACAGGGTTTCACCATGTTGGCCAGGCTGGTCTCAAACTCCTGACCTCAGGCAGTCCACTTGTCTAAGCCTCTCGAAGTGCTGGGATTACAGGCGTGAGCCACCACACCGGTCTCAACTGTTTTTTTGAGACAGGGTCTCTCTCTGTTGCCCAGGCTGGAGTGAAATGGTGCAGTCTCAGCTCACTGCAACCTCCACCTCCCAGGTTCAAGCGATTCTCCTGCCTCAGCCTCCCAGGTAGCTGGGATTATAGGTGTGTGCAACCACACCCAGCAATTTTTGTGTTTTTAGTAGAGACAAGGTTTCACCATGGTGACTAGTCTGGTCTCGAACTCCTGACATCGTGAACCGCCCACCTCGGCTGCCCAAAGTGCTGGGATTACAGGAGTGAGCCACCACACCTGGGCAGAAACTTCTTTTTTTTCTTTTTTTATGACAGAGTTTTGCTCTTGTCACCTAGGCTGGAGTGCAATGGTGCAATCATGGCTCACTGCAACCTTCACCTCCCAGGTTCAAGCTATTCTCCTGCCTCACCCTCCCAAGTAGCTGGAACTACAGGCGAGAGCCACCATGCCCAGCTAATTTATGTATTTTTGGTAGAGATGTTGGCCAGGATGGTCTCAAACTCCCAACATCGTGATCTGCCCGCACTGGCCTCCCAAAACGCTGGGATTACAGATGTGAGCCACTGCACCTGGCCAAGAAACTTCTATTTTAATTAAACCCAATTTATCTATCTTTTATTTTGTTGCTTGTGCTTTTCTGTGTCTTTTTTTTTTTTTTTTTTCTTGAGACGGAGTTTCACTGTTGTTGCCCAGGTTGGAGTGCAATGGCGCGATCTAGGCTCACCGCAACCTCCACCTCCTGGGTTCAAGCAATTCTCCTGCCTCAGCCTCCCGAGTAGCTGGGATTACAGGCACGCGCCACCGTGCCAAGCTAATTTTTGTATTTTTAGTAGAGACAGGGTTTCATCATGTTGACCAGGATGATCTTGATCTCTTAACCTCGTGATCCACCCGCCTCGGCCTCCCAAAGTGCTGGGATTACAGGCTTGAGCCACCGCGCCCTTCTATGTCTTAAGAAGCTTTTGCATAATCCAAGGTCACAAGGATTTTCTCCTGTTTTCTTCTAGAAGTTTTATAGTTTTAGGTTTTACATTTAGGTCTGTGATGCATTTTGAGTTAAATTCTATGTCTGTTGTAAAGAAGGGATTTGTCGTGGGCTAAATCAGGGCTCCCAAAATGATATGTTTCAGCCCTAGCTGTGGTACATGCAAATGTGACCTTATTTGAAAATAGGACCTTTGTGGATCTAATCGAGTTAAGTTGAGATCACGTTGGATTGGGGTGGCCTACATCCAATGGCTGTGACCTTATAGGAAGAAAGAGTTTTGAAGAGGAACACACGTCGGAAAGAAGGCTGAGTGAGGACAGACAGAGGTTGGAGGGAAGCAGCTGCAAGCTGAGAGTTGCTGGCAACGTTACTGAAACACCAGGATTTCGGTCCAAGTCCTGCTGCTTGCGCACAGCAAGCCAATCACTGAGACGCCAAGTGTGGCCAAGGAAGAAGGCTTTAATCAGGTGCTGAGCCAAGGCGGTGGGAGCTCAGTCTCAAATCCATCTCCTGACCGACCGGAACCAGTTCACATAGCAGGAAAGCAATGTAACAAAGTGTAAGAACACAAGAGCTAGGGAGAGCCAGTGCATTAGTTCATTTTCATGCTGCTGATAAAGACATACCTGAAATTGGGAACAAAAAAAAAAGGTTTAACTCGACTGACAGTCCCACACAGCTGAGGAGCTCACAGAATCATGGTGGGAGGTGAAAGGCACTTCTTACATGGCAGCAGCAAGAGAAAATGAGAGAGAAGCAAAAGCGGAAACCCCCAATAAACCATCAAATCTCAAGAGACTTATTCAGTATCAAGAGAATAACACAGGAAAGACCAGCCCCCCATAATTCAATTACCCCCCTGCGTCCCTCCCACAACATATGGGAATTCTGGACGATACAATTCAAGCTGAGAGTTGGGTGGGGACACAGCCCAACCACAGCAGGCAAGGAAGAAGTCATGGTGAATGAGGGTCCAGTATCTGTGCCTTGGTCTGGGGAGTTTTGGTTCTTTGATACTCTTTTGAGAGGCCTGAAAATTCCTTGGCCAAGGAAGAAAGTCAGATAAAACAAAAGTTTCAAGCTTTAAGACCAGAGGGTCAATTTCTGCAATACCTGCAGATACCTTGATCTTGGGTTTCTAGACTGCAGAGCGTAGAGAATGAACTCCTGTGGTCTACACGCTCCATTCGTGGTGCTTTGTTAGGGCAGCCCTGAGGCACAAACCCAGCACCATTTGTTGAAAAGACGATTCTTTCCCCTTCAATGGTCTTGACATCCTTTTCTTTTTTTTTTCTTGAGACGGAGTTTCACTGTTGTTGCCCAGGTTGGAGTGCAATGGCGCGATCTCAGCTCACTGCAACCTCCGCCTCCTGGGTTCAGGCAATTCTCCTGCCTCAGCCTCCCGAGTAGCTGGGACTACAGGCACGCACCACCATGCCCAGCTAATTTTTCATATTTTTAGTAGAGATGAGGTTTCACCATGTTGACCAGGATGGTCTCAATCTCTTGACCTCGTGATCCACCCGCCTGGGCCTCCCAAAGTGCTGGGATGACAGGCGTGAGCCACCGCGCCCGGCCAACATCCTTTTCACAAATCAGTTGGCCATAAACACATGAAGGTTTACTTCTGGATTCTCCACTCTGTTGCAGGAATCTGTAAGTCTGTCCTTCTGAGCCCCTTGTTTTCTTGACTTCGGCAGTTTTGTAGTAAGTGTTGACACTAGGAAGTGTAGATCCTCCACCTGTTTCCTTCAAGACGATTTTGAGGCCAGGTGTAGTGGCTCACTCACTCCTGTAATCCCAGCACTTTGGGAGGTGGAGGCGAGTGGATCACTTGAGGCCAGGAGTTCAGTCGAGACCAGCCTGGCCAACATGGTGAAACCCCATCTCTACTAAAAATAGAAAAATTACCCAAGCGTGGTGGTGGGCACCTGTAATCCCAGCTACTCGGGAGGCTGAGACAAGAGAATCACTTGAACCCAGGAGGCAGAGGTTGCAGTGAGCCAAGATCTCACCACAGCACCTTCTGTTGCCTGGGCAACAGAGCAAGACTCCATCTCAAAACAAAACAGAAAAAAGGCTGGTTCGGCTGCCCTGGATCTCCTGCATTTCCCTATGAATTTCAGAATCAGCTCGTCAATTTCTGCCCCAACCAAAGAAGCCATGTGTGGTTTTGATAGGGATTGCACTAAGTCTGAAGGTCAGTTTGTGATGAACACAGGGTGTCATCACATTTACTTAGTTAGGGCTTCTTTAATCTCTTTCAAGAACGTTTTGTCGTTTTCAGAGCACATGTTTTACAGTTCTTTTTTTTTTAACATAAAATACACCACACATGGCCGTTTTACACTTCTTCTGTAGAATGTGTTTAATTCTTTTTGACTCTGCTATAAATAATTTTTTTTTTTTTTTTTTGCCAATCAGTTTGAGCTTATGAGGTTGCTCAGGTTAGCCTTGAACTCATGACCTCGCCTTCGCAAGCGCCACGACCTCCGGCTGGAGCCACTTTGAACCCCAAATGAAATTTTTTGACTTGATTTCAGTTTAGAGAAATACCATGGATGTTTGCACAGTGATCACGAGATTCTGCAACCTTGATGAACTTCATTAGTGTTCATATTTTTAGTGCATTTCTGAGGATTTTTCTATGTGTAAGATTATGTCATCTGCAGGGAGACAGTCTTACCTCTTCATCTGGATGTCCTTTATTCCTTTGTCTTGCTGAATTGCCCTGGCTAGAGCCTCCAGTACAATGTTGAATAGAAGTAGTGAGAGGGGACATCCTGGTCTTGTTTTTGATCCCAGGTGGAGAGCATCCTGCTTTTTTTTTTTTTTTTTTTTTTTGAGACGGAGTTTCGCTCTTGTTACCCAGGCTGGAGTGCAATGGTGCGATCTCGGCTCACCGCAACCTCCGCCTCCTGGGTTCAGGCAATTCTCCTCCCTCAGCCTCCTGAGTAGCTGGGATTACAGGCACGCGCCACCGTGCCCAGCTAATTTTTTTTGGTAATTTTTAGTAGAGACGGGGGTTTCACCATGTTGACCAGGATGGTCTCGATCTGTTGACCTCATGATCCACCCGCCTCGGCCTCCCAAAGTGCTGGGATTACAGGCTTGAGCCACCGCACCAGGCCAGCATCCTGCCTTTTACCATCAAGTAGAATGTTAGCTATGGGGCTTAGCAGACCTCTTTCATCAGGTCGAGGAAATTCCCTTCCACTCCTAGCTTTCTGAAAGTGGTAATTAATTTTTAACTAAAGTGCAAAGGTGAACTGACATTGGAAAGATAGTATTTTCACCAAATTGGACATCTGTGTGGGGAGAAAAAAAGGATTCTCAACCTAGATCCTCATTCCTTATGCAAAAATTAACTCAAAATGATCACAGGTCTAAATGTCAAGCAAAACGCCACGAAACCTTTAGAAGAAAAAGAAGAAATCTTCACAACCTGGGCCAAGGCTAAAAATATTCTTCAACACAACAGCAAAAGCTCAATCCATAAAAGATAAATTGATAAATTGGATTTCATCAAAATTTAAACCTTTTTTCTGTGTAAACGTCACTGATGAGAGAATGAAAAGACAAGTTATATGCCGGAGAAAGTATTGTGTATGAGTCCGTTCTCACGCGGCTATGAAGACATACCCAAGACTGGGTAATTTATAAAGGAAAAAGGTTTAATGGACTCACAGTTCCGCATGCCTGGGGAGGCCTCAAGAGACTTAGAATCGTGGTGGAAGGGGAAGCAAGCAACACAGCCTTCTTCACATGGCGGCGGGAGAAGGGGGAAAAGCCCAGTAAAAAACCATCAGATCTTGTGAGAACTCACTATCAAGAGAAGAATAGCATGGGGGTAACTGCCCCAATGATTCAATTACCTCTTGCTGGGCCCCTCCCACAACATGTGGGGATCATGGGAACTACAATTAAGATGAGATTTGGGTGGGGACACCGCCAAACCATACCAACTTGTGAATCACATATCAAACAAAAGATTTGTATGCAGAATAGACCTATGTAATGATTTATTTAACGTTTATGTTCAGGGGTGAACAAACACGTGCAGATTTGTGAACTTGTGTAAAGGGGGTTTGTTGTACAGATTAGTTCATCACCCAGGTACTAAGCCTTTGTACTCATTCGTTATTTACCTGATCCTCCCCCTCCTCCCACCCTTCACCCTCCGATAGGCCAGTGGCAGTTGTTCCCCTCTATGTGTCCATGTGTTCTCATCATTTAGCTCCCACTTGTAAGGGAAAACATGTATTTTGGTTTAGGTTTCTGCATTAGCTTGCTAAGGATAATGGTCTTCAGCTCCATCCATGTTCCTGCAAAAAAACAAGACCTCATTCTTCTTTATGGCTGCATAGTATTCCATAGTGTAGATGTACCACATTTTCTTTATCTAGTCTATTACTGATGGGCATTCAGGTTGATTCTATGTCTTTGCCATTGTGAATAGTGCTGCATGTGTCTTTATGGTAGAACAACTTCTATTCCTTTGGGTATATATCCAGTAATGGGATTTCTGGGTTGAATATTAGTTCTGTTTTTAGGTCTTTGAGGAAATCACCACACTGTTTTCCACAATAGTTGAACTAATTTACACTTCCACCAGCAGTATATACGCGTTCCTTTTTCTGCACAAATTCACCAGCACCTATTTTTTTGCTTCAGAATACATGTTTTTTTAACTCTTAAAATCAGCAGCTGGGCCCAGTGGCTCATGCCTGTAATCCCAGCACTTTGGGAGGCTGAAGCAGGTGGATCATGAGGTAAGGAGTTTTGAGACCAGCCCGGCCAGCATGGTGAAATCCCGTCTCTACTAAAACTACAAAAATTAGCCAGGCATGGTGGCACATGCCTGTAATCCCAGCTACTTGGAAGGCTGAGGTAGGACAATTGCTTGAACCCAGGAGGTGAGAATTGCAGTGAGCTGAGACCATGCCACTGCACTCCAGCCTGGTGACAGAGTGAGACTCCGTCTCAAAAGAAAAAAAAAATCTGCAGTAAGGCGAGGCACAGTGACTCATGACTGTAATCTCAGTGTTTTGGAAGGCCGAGTCAGGAGGCTCACTGGAGGCCAGGAGTTCAAGGCTGCAATGAGCTCTGTCTGCATTCCAGCCTGGGAGACAGAGCGAGACCCTGTCTCCAAAAATCAAAAAATCAATCTGTAGTAAATACAATAATCTAAAAGTGGGCAAAGGACTTGAACAGACATTTCACCAAAGAGGATACATGGGTGCAAATCAGCACGAGAAGTTCCATGTTGGGAAAATGCAGATTCAATAGTGACATGGTTCCCGTGCACGCCCATCAGATGCTGGAAGCTGACAGTGTGTGAGGTTTCGGCTACATGGCGGTTCCCAGAAAGATGGTAGATTGAAACCCAACTATATCAGTGATTCCAAATCCATTAGAAGAGTTCATCGTAAGACATATATATTCTGTTTCTGGAATTTACATATACAGAAATACATATACAGAAAGATCAAAAGTAAGAGAAGAGGCTGGGCAAGATGGCTCACACCTATAATCTCAGCACTTTGGGAGGCCGAGGCAGAGGGATTACAGGAGGTCAGGAGTTTGAGACCAGTCTGGCCAATATGGCGAAATCCTGTCTCTACTAATAATACAAAAATTAGCCAGATGTGGTGGCACGTGCCTGTGATCCCAGCTGCACTGGAAGACCGAGCCACAAAAATCGAACCTGGGAGGTGGAGGCTGCAGTGAGGCAAGATCGTGCCACTGCACTCCAGCCTGGGCTACAAAGTGAGACTGTCAAAAAAGAGAGAGCAAGAGAGAGGGGGGGAGGGAGGGAAGGAGAGAGGGAGGGAGGGAGGGAGGGAGGGAAGGAGAGAGGGAGGGAGGGAATGGAAGATACAGTGCAAGCATGAGGTAAAAGCTTGTTTTGCCTGTGAGATCAGAGTGGGCTTTCAGGGAAAGGGTCAGTAGAGATCAATTCACAATGACAGCAGTTTCCATTCACCAGGATATTTGCACCCAGCAACACAGACAGACGACAGGTGGACATATAAAGTAATCATACCCAAGGTTACATAAAGCACACGCTGACAACTAACAGGAGGAACAGGCAGGCCCTCAGCCACAGCGGCAGGTTTTCCAGCTGTCTGTGGCCAGCAGAACACAGAGCGCTGACCTCGCTGGCACACAGAGCGCTGCAGCAGACCCCCGCGGGCACGCGCCCTTTCCCAGCACGCGGCAGGTCCACAAGAACTGACCGAGCCTGTGCCAGAAAGCAAGTCTCAGGAATCTGAAAGGAATAAAATCGTGCAGATTGTGTTCTTCTGGTGATAATGCGGTTCAGCTAGTTACCAAATGTTTGCAAGTTAAGTTCCCTTCTCAATAAGCCCATCAGTCAAAGAAGAAACACTGGCCGAGAGCACGTGGGGCCATTTCACAGTGAAAAAAACGCTGCACGTGAAGACCTGTGAGATTCAGCTCAACTCCGGGCCTCACGGTCCGCCCACCTCAGCCTCACAAAGTGCTGGCAATACAGGCGTGGGCCACGGTGCCCGGCCTATTTTTATTTTTTTAGGGACTGGGTCGTGCTCTATCTCCGAGGCTGGAATGCAACAGTGCGATCAATGCTTAGGAGAAGGCTTCTAGATCTGAATGAATATATTATGAGGGAAGAAATGACGAAAACCAATCCGCTAAGCGTCTAACTCAACAGATTAGAAAAAGAAGAGCAAACTAAATTCAAGAAATAGAGAAGAAAGAAATAACAAAAAGCAAAAATAATTGCATTTGGCCGGGCACGGTGGCTCACGCCTGTAATCCCAGCACTTTGGGAGGCCGAGGCGGGTGGATCACGAGGTCAAGAGATCGAGACCATCCTGGTCAACATGGTGAAACCCCGTCTCTACTAAAAATACAAAAAAATTAGCTGGGCATGGTGGTGCGTGCCTGTAATCCCAGCTACTCGGGAGGCTGAGGCAGGAGAATTGCCTGAACCCAGGAGGCGGAGGTTGCGGTGAGCCGAGATCGCGCCATTGCACTCCAGCCTGGGTAACAAGAGCGAAACTCTGTCTCAAAAAAATAATAATAATCGCATTTAAAAATATATAACAGATACATCAATCAAGCCAACAGCTGGTTTTAAGAAATGATTTAGCTCCTTGCTGACCAAGCCAAAAAGACAGAAAACACAAATAACCAGTGTAAGCCATAACAAACAGACCACAGTCAGAGGCAGCAGACATGAAAAAGAGGATAGGATATTTAGAACAACTGCCTAAACAGTCTTCTGAAATTGTTGATGACAGATTTCTTTAAAAATATAACTTGCTGAGTATGGTAACACACCTGTAATCCCAGCACTTTGGGGTGCTGAGGCAGGAGGTCACTTGAGCCCAGGAGGTAGAGACCAGCCTGGACAACAAAGTGAGACCTTGTCTCTAGTTTTTAAAAAAAAAAAAAAAAGGGCCGGGTGCGGTGGCTCAAGCCTGTAATCCCAGCACTTTGGGAGGCTGAGGCGGGTGGATCATGAGGTCAAGAGATCGAGACAATCCTGGTCAACATGGTGAAACCCCGTCTCTACTAAAGATACAAAAAATTAGCTGGGCACGGTGGCGCGTGCCTGTAATCTCCGCTACTTGGGAAGGTGCGGCAGAATTGCTTGAACCCAGGAGGCAGAGGTTGCAGTGAGCCAAGATCGCGCCATTGCACTCCAGCCTGGGTAACAAGAGCGAAACTCTGTCTCAAAAAAAAAAAAAAAAAGTATATAAATAATTAGCCAAACATGATGGCGCACACTGGCGGTCCCAGCTACTCAGGAGGCTGAGGTGGGAGGATCACCTGAGCGCAGGAAGTCAAGGCTACAGTGAGCTGTGATCTCATCACTGCATTCCAGTCTGGGAGACAGAGCAAATCCCTGACTGTAAAAAAATTAAAAATAGGCCAGGTGTGGTGGCTCACACCTGTAATCCCAACACTTTGGGAGGCTGAGGCAGGCAGATCACAAGGTCAGGAGTTCAAGTTCACCTGGCCAACATGGTGAAACCCCATCTCTACTAAAGATACGAAAAACTAGCTGGGCATGGTGGTGGGCACCTGTAATCTCCGCTGCTCGGGAAGGCGCGGCAGAATTGCCTTAACCCAGGAGGCGGAGGTTGCAGTGAGTGGAGATGGAGCCATTGCACTCCAGCCTGGGTGACAGGACGAGACTCTGTCTCAAAACAAATAAATAATAAAATTTTTAGAAGAAATAAAAATAAAACTTACCAAAAAGAAACAGAAAACTGGAATCATCTTGGAATAACAAAAGCAGTTGAGTCCATTCATAAAAGCTTTCCCACGAAGACAGCTCCAAGCAGACGGCATCAGTAACAACCTGCTGCAGACACTCACGGAAGAAATGGTCAAATTTTACCCCCAAAAAAGTTTTGTTTCGTGTTGTTTCTTGAGAGAGTCTCTCTGTTGAACAGGCTGGAGTGCAAGAGCTCAATCTCAGCTCGTGGCAACCACGATCTCCTGGGTTCAAACGATTCTCCTGCCTCAGCCTCCCAAGCAGCTGGGGCTACAGGCACTCATCGCCAGCCTGGCTAATTCTTCTGTATGTTTGGTAGAGACAGGGTTTTACTCACCATGTTAGCCAGGCTGGTCTTGAACTCCTGCCCTCATGTGATCCACCTGCCCCAGCCTCCCAAAGTGCTGGGATTACAGGCATGAGCCACCATGCCAAGCCCCAAGAAAAGTTCTTTTAGAAGTGAAAAAAATAAAAGAGTAATCCCCGACTCATCTTTTGAAGCCATCTTCCCTTTGACACCAAAACCAGGCATGGACATAACAAGAAATGGAAATTATAGGCCAGTTTCACTCACGCACATAGAGGCAAAATCCCAGACAAAAGCATCCACAAACTGAATCCAGCAACCTAGGAAAGGGTCATCTCATCGGCTGCAGCTGGGGCTAAACCGCGAAGTGAGGCTGGTTCGACCGGAAAATCCCTCCCGGTGCCGCCCTTTCGCCGGGCCCAGCTCCCGACCCGCCTTCCTGGTGCTGGGGGAAGGGGGTAGATTCCTCTCCTGTGGCTGCCAGAACGAATCACAACAAACTCGGCAGCTTAAAACAGCAGGAATCTATTCTCTCACTGCTGTGGAGGTGGCCAGAAGGCCAAGCTCAAGGTGTTGGCAGGGCCCTACTCCCTCCAAAGGCCCCAGAGGAGGGCCTGTCCTGTGCTCAGACTTCACTCCACCTTCTTGCTGGGGCTCTGCCTTCGTGGGTCTGTGACTCTCCTGTCCATGTCTCTCTCTTTTTCTTTTTTTTTTTTGACAGGCTCTCCCTCTGTTGCCCAGGCTGGAGTGCGGTGGCAGTCTCAGCTCACTGCAACCTCCTCCTCCCAGGTTCAAGCATTCTCCTGCCTCAGCCTCCCAAGTAGGTGAGATTACAGGCATCTGCCACCATACCTGGCTAATTTTTTTGTATTTTTAGTAAAGACTGAGTTTCACGATGTTGGCCAGGCTGGTCTCAAACTCCTGACCTCAGGTGACCTACCCACCTCAGCCTCCCAGAGTGCTGGGATTACAGGTGTGAAACACCCCACCAGGCCTTTTTTCTTGTTTTTAAAGAGGGTCTCGCTCTGTGCACGCTGGAGAGCAGTGGCGTGATTACGGCCCACTGCAGTCTCAACCTCACACACAGGCTCTGACAATCGCCTGCGTCAGTCTCCAGAGCAGCTGGGAATACAAGTGCACACCACCACACCAGCTACGTTTTTTTAATTTTTTTGTCGATATGGTGTCTAACAGTGTTGCCTGAGCTGGTCTCAAACTCCTGGACTTGGATGACTTGAAATGATCCTCCCGCCTTGGCTTCCCAGTGTTGGGATTACAGGTGTGAGCCACTGTGCCCAGCCTAAACTACAGCTGGTTTTTGCAAGTAATATAATTGTGTACTTAGAAAAGTCTTTAAAAATCTAGGCCAGGTGTGGCGGCCCACACCTGTAATCCCAGCATTTTGGGAGGCCGAGGTGGGCAGATCACCCAAGGTCAGGAGTTTGAGACCAGCCAGGCCAACATGGCAAAAGCATCTCTACTAAAAGTACAAAAATTAGCTGGGCATGGTGGCGCATTCCTGTAATCCCAGCTACTCGGGAGGCTGACGCAGGAGAATCGCTTGAACCCAGGAGGCGGAGGTTGCGGTGAGCCGAGATTGCGCCATTGCACTCCAGCCTGGGTAACAAGAGCGAAACTCCGTCTCAAAAAAAAAAAAAACCCAGCAGTGGGCATCTGGTCAGTGCCCCACAGCCACTCACCCAGCGGCTCTGCCCTCACTGTCAATGGCCTCGCCCTAGGATGCTCACAGCGAGGCCCTGGCCCTTCGGTTCACGGGGTGTCACTGGGACTTTGTGGCTACTTGACTCTTGAACCCCCCGAAGTCTGGGTCATGAGCAGCAGGCTCTTCCCACAGGAAAGACCCCAGCTCTCTCCCTCTCTACTGCCCTTCCTTTCTGCTCTCACATCGACAAGGCCTTGCTCCAGCCCACCTCCCAGGGAGACGTGGAGCCAGGTACATACGGCCCTCACCAGTAACACCCGGGTCTCTTCCTCCCTGTGCCCTGAGCCCGATGCCCTCACCAGCCTGGGACCCCCCTCCAGCCCGGCGGTCCCTTCCAGCACCCCAACTGGCCCAGTGCCCCCACCTGCCCAAGGCTCCACCAGCCTACCGCCCCCCACCAGCTCGGCACCCCCTCCAGCGGGGTGTCCTCTCCACCCTGGTACCCCTGCCAGCCCGGCGCGCCCTCCAGCCCAGCGGGCATCCCCTCCAGTCCCCCACTTCAAGACCCACACGTTTTCTATTAGCTGAGGTCATGGCGGCTGCTGTACCACTGCACTAGGTGTGTCTTTTTCTATAGTTTTGGTTTGTTGGTTTGTTTTTGAGACAGAGTTTCACTCACATCACCCAGGCTGGAGTGCAGTGGCGTGATCTCAGCCCACTGCAACTTCTGCCTCCCAGGTTCAAGCACTACTCCTGCCTCAGCCTCCTGAGTAGCTGGGATTACAGGCGCCTGCCACCACGTCCAGCTAATATTTGGCATTTTTAGTAGAGATGGGGTTTCACTGTGTAGACCAGGCTGGTCTCGAACTCTTGACCTCAAGTGGTTCACCTGCCTTGGTCTCCCAAAGCGGTGGGATTACAGGCATGAGCCACCACACCACACTTTTCTGTAGTTTTGATGCTGACATCTTACACGTTCTTCCACCCCAAACACCCAGGTGTATGGAGCGGCCCCCAATCTCTGTGGATAAAGTAACTTTCTTCCAACAAGACAGTCATTCCTGAGCCTGTGTGTCACCCTCCCTGATCAAAGCAAATCCCAGGTTCATTTAAAAAACATACAGGCCCCAAATTTAGGAGGCTGCAGCCCAAACCCCTGCAGCTCATAGCAGGACCCTGACCTGGCGAGAGCATGGCCCTCCGGCCCTCCTCAGCCCCCGTCAGGTGTGCAACCCCACTCCAAGCATGATCCTCAGCAGCACAGGTGAGGTCAGCCGTGTATCACAGCCTGTACTGGGTGTGACGAGCCCCTCCATCCGGAAGCACTGTCTTTACTTGGTCACCAAGACCCGCCACTTGCCCACACCCCCACTTGCACCCCAGCTACCGCATCCGGGGCCCTGCTCTGCCTCCCACCATGCCCTGGCTTCTCACATTCCATTCTCCAGCCCCAAATTCCAGGTTCACGCAGCCAACCGCCCACCCGACACTCACTAAGATGCCAAGGCTGAAGGTTGTTGGCAGGTCCGAGCAGGGTTCTCAAGTAGTGGTGCCCACCCCAGCCTGCCCAGCTCTCAGACCACCAACCATGGGCCCAGCCACCATGGCTCTCTTCATCACACCCACAACCAAGACAGCCGCTGATCCTGTGCCCCAGTCGGCCAAATCCCACCTAGTCCAGCCGCCCCTCACAAGCCCACCTGAGCCCCAGAACCTCCCCACCAGTAGCTGGGGGCAGAAGCCTGGGCCCTGGCCCTACCTGTTCTCAGCTTGTGCCCCCCTCGCAGCTGGTCCCCTTGGGCACCTGTGTCCTCCGGTTTTGAGCACTTTCCTCTACGGCATTTGCTCTTCCCTCTGGGATGTGGCCATGGGGCCCCACGGAATGGCACATTATTAGGCACCACGTGACTTCAGGTGGAATGACTGAGTGAGGGACCAGCCCAGCACAGCCAGACGGCAAGAGGCCGGGCAGGACACCCTCCAACCACTGTGAGGAAGGGATGGCTCCAGACCCAGTGCTCCCAGCAGTCAAGGAGCCTGGGCAGGGGTACAGACAACGGTGAGCCAGTGTGGGCACATGCAGGCCACGCAGCCAGAGATGAGCACAGACACAGGACTCCACAGCCACCAGCCACAACCATGCACAAGGACACGGGGTAGACAAGGGCCATGTGGACTGAGCTGTCAGGGCCCCCGTGAGATAAACAAGAGCCACTTAGACACACTTCTCTCCGGCTGAGTGCAGTGGCTCATGTCTGCAATCCCAGCATTTTGGGAAGCTGAGGTGGGCGGATCACTTGAGGTCAGAAGTTCGAGACCAGTCTGGCCAACATAGTGAAACCCTCTCTCTAAAATAAGCCAGGTGTGGCAGTGTGCACCTGTAGTCCCAGCTACTCAGGAGGCCGAGGCAGGAGAATCACTTGAACCTGGGAGGCAGAGGTTGCAGTGAGCCGAGATCATGCCACTGCACTCCAGCCTGGGCAACAGAGTGAGACTGTCTCAAAAAAAAAAAAAAAAAAAACACATGCATACACTACTCTCTGGCCGGGCGCAGTGGCTCAATCCCAGCACTTTGGGAGGTAGAGGCAGGCAGATCACTTGAGGCCAGGAGTTTGAGACTAGCCTGAGGGGCATGGTGAAACCCTGTCTACTAAAACTAAAAATACAAAAATTAGCTGGGCATGGCAGCATGCACCTGTAGCCCCAGCTACTCAGCAGGCTCAGGTGGGAGGATCGCTTGAGGCTGGGAGATGGAGGCTGCAGCGAGCTGTGACTGTGCCACTGGTGACAGCAGGACCTTGTCTCAAAAAAGAGAAACACTCCTGTCCAACCAAAGCTGGGTGCAGCGGGAGGTGCAACTGCCACAGGCCCCCGAAGTTGTGGTCCTGACCTGGCCGGAGTCCCGATCAGCCTCATCCCTCCAGGCAGGGTGGGCCAGGCCCAAGTGAAGGAGCCCGGGAAGTAGCAACAAAGGGAGGCAGAGGCCAGGAAGGCGGAGCCGGACAGAATAGGAATCCGTGCAAGACACTGCAGCCGGATCTCACTAACGGGTTTTTTTTTTCAGATGGGGGCTCACTCTGCTGCCCAGGCTGGGGTGCAGCAACGAGATCATAGCTCACTTGGCCTCACACAGCCTTGGCCTCCAGGCTCAAGTGATCCTCCTGCCTCAGCCTCCCTCTATGTAGCTGGGACTACAGGCACACACCATCGAACCCAACTAATTTTTATTTTTTGTAGTGGCGGGATCTCCCTGTGCTGCCCAGGCCGGTCTTGATCTCCCAGGCTCATGTAATCCTCCAGCCTGGGCCTCCCAAAGTGCTGGGATTATAGGCATGAGCCAGTGCATCCAGCAGCGCCACCTCTTAATAAACATTAGTTTCGGCCCAGCGCGGTGGCTCACACCTGTAATCCTAGCACTTTGGGAGGCCAAGGTGGGTGGATCACCTGAGGTCAAGAGTTCTAGACCAGCCTGGACAACATGGTGAAACCCCATCTCTACTTAAAAAAAATATTAGCCTGACGTGGTGACACACGAGGCTGAGGCAGGAGAATCACTTGAACCCAGGAGGTGGAGGTTTCAGTGCGCCAAGATGGTGCCACTGCACCCCAACCTGGGTGATAGAGGAAGACTCCATCTCAAACACAACAAAAAAAATTAGTTTCTAGTTTTGTTGGAGTCAAGTTTGTCACACTTTCCAGTAAGCGCCTTGGTCTCACAGCCCAGTCCCCTCTGCTGTTTCCTGTGGGGGTGTCTCCACCTCTGCGTCTTCCTGGGGAGCCAGCTGCACTGTCCTCACACAGATGCCAGCTGCCCAGGGTGCAGGGCCTGCTGCCCCAGCCAGGCGATGCTGCGGCCTCCAGGTGGTTCCGTGGTCTCGGGCAGGGGACATGGTCTCGGCCCTGGTGTCAGGCTACAAGGCAGAAGGCAAAGGCTGCCACTGACCTTATGGGGGCCACACAGCTCTGCCACCCCAGCTTTAAACCTATGGACCAGTGACACCAGGACCTACAGAACAAGAGGCGGTGACTTCAAGCAACTCAAGCCACTGTATGTGTGGTGACAGCTAGAGCTGAGGTCAGGACCCCATCCCTGCCCCTTCCTCACGACAGCCAGCAAATGCTAGAGCAAGCCGGGACGTGCCAGGAGCGCAGAAGCACCCACTGGCCTCCCTCCCGCCAACCTCCCTCCCAGAGCCCTGCCCTCCCTCCTGCGGCCCTGGCCTCCCTCCAACCGGCCTCCCTCCCGTGGCCCTGGCCTCCCTCCCGCCGGCCTCCCTCCCACGGCCCTGGCCTCCCTCCCGCCGCCCTGGCCTCCCTCCCACAGCCCTGGCCTCCCTCCCGCCGGCCTCCCTCCCACGGCCCTGACCTCCCTCCCACCGGCCTTCCTCCCACGGCCCTGGCTGCCCTCCTGCCAACCTCCCTCCCACAGCCCTGGCCTCCCTCCTGCCGACCTCCCTCCCTCAGCCCTGGCCTCCCTCCATCCAGCCTTCCTCCCACGGCCCTGACCTCCCTCCCACAGCCCTGGCCTCCCTCCCGCCAACCTCCCTCCCATGACCCTGGCCTCCCTCCCGCCAGCTTCCCTCCCGCAGCCCTGGCCTCCCTCCCACAGCCCTGGCCTCCCTCTCACCAATCTCCCTCCCACAGCCCTGGCCACCCTCCCACCAACCTCCCTCCCGCCGGCCTCCCTCCCACCAAGCTCCCTCCCACAGCCCTTCCCACCCTCCTGCCAACCTTCCTCCCACGGCCCTGGCCTCCCTCCCACCAAGCTCCCTCCTCCCCAAGGCCTGTGATGTGAGTACCCTCGATCTGGGGGCTGAGGAAGGAGAGCTCAGCAGATCCCCAGCAGAATAAGAGCCTGAAGAATATCTTAGTTTATAGTGTTATTACTCAGCTATTTCCTTCATATAATCGTTTATATATCATAGTTTACAGAATTAGTGCCTGAAAAATATCCCACAACTCTGTTATTTCCACATATATATACAATTATATCTTAGTTCATAGTCAGAGGAACGTGTAGAGCAGACACGGTACAGAGCATGATTTAGGGAAAAGGCAGTTATACCAGGACAGGAATCCATGGCCCAGGCGGCAGCGTTCAGTGTCGTGAATATACCCACTGTGTGGCAGGCTTGGGGCGAGAGCCACTCCTGATAAAGGAGTTGTAGGACCCTGCTCCAGTTCTTGTGGAAGGCCGCCCTCAGACCGGCAATCCCACGAGCCTCCGAGGGTTCGAAACCCCTCCGGTATAATCTCACCTTGGTGACTGAACTTTATCAGCTCTTGTTGCTGTGCTGGGGCAAAAGCCTCCTCCTGCAGAACTCACTGGAAGCTGCCAGCAGGTGGCTGTGGACCAGGTCAGCTCTGCTGCTGTCTCAAGGGCATCCGCCTATAGAATTCCTTGGAAGTAGCCTGCCCTAGACAAGAGATACTACGCACTACACTCTCCGCTGCGCACGGCCCACCTCCATGCCTCGGGGACCTAATGGGGGTGGACCCCTTGTTTATTGGACACGTGATTGTCTTGACCCTATCACTGTCCTTAAGATGACCTCACTCACTACCTTTCCCAGTCTTGCACCCAATACATACAGATGCTCCTGAAAGTTCGGGGCCTCGCCTGTCTCTGCTCATAGGTGGTGTGGCCCCCGAGCCCAGCTGCTTTTCCAGTCCTCCTGTGTCCTGTCTCTTTACTTCTCAGATCCTGTGCCTCAGCAGCGATAGGGGACACCCCAGGACCCTGCAGGGCTGTGGCCCTACACGTGGGAGTCCTGGGTCTGTGGTTATAGAAGGGGTTTACGTGGACCTGCTCCCAGCATAAGAAAAGCCCTGTCCAGAAGCCAAGGCTGGCTGCGGGCACCAGGGACCTTTGAGGCTGCAGTGGAGGAGGGCTGAGGGCTGAGCGCCTGACACAGGGCTGGACCCAGCAGCTGCAGTGGCAGGAACCCTTAGGAGGAGCCGGCAGAGGGGCAGACCATGGTGCTTCGGCACACAGCCCACAGCCTGCAGGGCCCAGGCCGCATGAGCGGGTCAGGGAGGTGCTCTTGAAAGGGAGGCCTTGCTGGCCACGTCTGGGTACTGAGGTGCTCCTGAGGCCCGGGCACGGGAATGGGGAAGCAGGCGGCCTCGGTGTGTCCACCCCAGGGCCGAGGAGGCCCGGACAGGCCCGGACAGGCTGAGGCTGGAGCTGCATCCCCAGGTGTGCCACACAGGCGCAAGGCCCAGCCCAGTGGGAAAGGCTCCAATGAGGGTGTGTTCTGGCAGGCGGATGGACGTGGCCCCAGGGCAGGGCTGGCAGGAGCCTGGAGGTGGCCCCACCAGCCCCGTCTCTGCCCACCTCAGGCCAGAGTCTGACAGCCCCAGAAGAGAGGGAGCCCTGTGAAGGAGGCAGGAGAGGCCGCAGGGCCACCTGTGCCTGCTGGTGGGGGCGGGGGCTGCCATGAGGCCAAGCCTCCTTCCGCCAGGCTGGGGCACGTCCCTGGGGACACAGATGGCTCTTTGTCAGAACTGAGCTGAGCTTGCTGGGCAGCCTCTGGAACAAAGCCTCTCTGTCCACGCTGTGCCCCCACCCGGAGCACCACCTCCAGGGAAGGAGCAGAGCCCCAGACTCCCATCCGGCGCCACACCAGGCACAGCCAAGGCTGGGGTGGGGGAGAGGCTGTGCTCACAGCGAGGGCTGGGCCGCAGGGGGAGACCGGATGAAGGGGTCAGGGTCCATGGCACTCCGGTGCCGGGGAGGCCTGTGCCACCTGCCACTCACCTTGCTGGGGTGCACATGTCCTCTAGCCCCCGTCAGCCCTAGACTGCCCACCACAGCCCAGGGATCCTCTACACCCCCTTCCCCAGACAGGGAAGCCTGACAGGGTGAAGCAGGAGGCCCAGCAGCCTTGCCCACGGGGAAGCTGCCACAGTTCACTCCTGAGTCCCCTCCAGACCACCAGCTGGGCCATCACAACCCCCTCAGGGGTCTGGCCACACCCAGTGGTCAGTGCTGCTGGCCTTGGGCCTCAGCTCCGGCCAGAGTCAGCCCAGCCCAGCCCCTGAAGCCAGCACATGACCTGGGCTCTGCATCTGCCCTCCCTGCGGCCACCCAGCCCTCTTTCCGTTCCTCCAACACCCAACCAGGCTGGGCCAAGGCAGGTTTCCCACCCCTGCGGCCACCCAGCCCTCTTTCTGTTCCCCCAACACCCAGCCGGGCTAGGCCAAGGCAGGTTTCCCACAGGAGTGCCTGTCCACAGCCCTCAGCGTCCAGGCGGTGGGATCCAGATGAGGCCAGGCAGGGCTCCCGCCAGCCTGGCGAGTTCCTGCCGACACTGTCCCTGTAGTTGATACAGCACCGCCTCCAGGCAGGCCTCCTGGCTCCTCAGCGTCCTGATCACCTCAGCTGCCCGCAGGTCCTGGTCCCCTGCTGCCCCATCCTCTCGTCTCACCAGCCGGTGTGGCCCATGGGGCTGGGCCGGGCCCCCATCTTGCTCCCAGCACCGCTGCAGAGCTCCCAGCTCCTTTTCCACGGCCTCCCGAGAGGCCCGCCGCACAGCACTCCACTCTGGCCCCCATCCACAGCCTCCAGCCTGCATGGGAGACAATGGTGGTGGCTCTGTCCCCCCAGGATACTGGCCTCAGACCCCTCAGCATTTCCTGGGTCAGAATGAGGGGTGTGGGCACAGCACGCATGCAGGAAACACCCATGCTCTTTAGAGAGGCTCCCTGAAAACGCTGACCAACATAGTGAAACCCCATATATATATGCTAAAATATAAAATATATATTAGCTAAAATATAATAAAAATATAAAATATGAAAATTAGCTGGGCGTGGTGGCATGCACCTGTAGTCACAGCTACTCAGGAGACTCACTTGAACCTGGGAGGCAGAGGTTGCAGTGAGCCAAGATCATGCCACTGCACTCCAGCCTGGGTGGCAGTGTGAGACTTCGTCTTGAGAAGAAGAAAAAGAGAGGCTTACTGAAGACTTTAAGGGAAAAATCCTGACTGAAATTTACGTTAAAATTCTTTTCTTTTTCCTTTTCTCTAAGACAGAGTCTCACTCTCACCCAGACTGGAGTGCAGTGGTGTGATCTCGGCTCAGTGCAACCTCTGTCTCCTGGGTTCAAGCGATTCTCCTGCCTCAGCCTCCCAAGTAGCTGGGACTACAGGCACATGCTACCACACCCGGCTAATTTTTTTGCATTTTTAGGTAGAGATGGGGTTTCACCATATCGGCCAGGCTGGTACCGATCTCCTGAGCTCGTGATCCACCTGCCACAGCCTCCCAAAGTATTGGGATTACAGGTGTGAGCCACTGCGCCCAGCCATTAAAATTCTTCAGAAAAAGAAAATAGAGGCCAGGTGCCATGGCTCACGCCTGTAATCCCAGCATTTTGGAAGGCCAAGGAGGGCAGATCATGAGGTCAGGAGTTCAAGACCAGCCTAACCAATATGGTGAAAACTTCTATTAAAAGTTAAAAAATTAGCCAGGCATGGTGGCGTGCGTCTCTAATCCCAGCTACTCGGGGGCTGAGGCAGGAGAATCACTTGAACCCGGGAGGCAGAGGTTGCAGTGAGCCGAGATAACACCACTACACTCCAGCCTGGGCGACAGAGTGAGACTCCTCCAACACAAAAAAAAAAAAAAGAGAGAAAGAATGATGCAGCCCCATGTCCACAGCCACGAACCTGCGTAGGTGACGGCTGTGTTTAGGGAGGACACCCAGGCGTCCAGCAGCAGGTCCGACAGTCCCAGGCAGGTAGAGCGAGCACCACTGTGTGAATCCACGTGTGGCGGAGGCCTGGGAGCAGCAGGCCCCACAACACGGGCTTCCCTCCCTCCTCACGCAAAGATCCGAGAACAGACCTCCAGCAGGAGGGGCAGGGCTGTCTCACAGCAGCAGGGGTCGTCACCATGTGCCCTCCTGCCCCTCAGAGTGCATGCGTGAGTGTGCCACTCACCACGCCACTCAATCAGATGCAGCTATGGAATCCAGCAAGTTCAAAGCACCCTCAGGTCAGCCATCCCCCAAAGGTGGCCAGTGCCCAGAGCGAGCCTGGCCCTCACCTTGGCCTCCCAGGCTGCCCGTCTGCACTCCACAGCTTCCTGCAGCTCCTCCTGCAGCGCCCGCAGCTCCCATGCTACCAGCTCCAACTCACCACCTCTGTGCTCAGGGATCCGGGGCAGGAAGGTGCCCTGTGAGGCGGCAGCCGGCACCCCGGGGGCACAGGTGTCCAGGACAGTGTCCTACGGAGACCCAAGTGAGACAGCCTGCACCTAGTGGGGTTTCCCAGCTGAGGAGACAGAAGGACAGAGGGCAGGGAGGGCAGTGGTGGCCCCCCAGGTCCCACAGCGGCTGGATGCCACCATCTCAGCAGCCTCGACATCCAGGGAGGCACACAGGCCACAGAGCTGAGGACAGGGCCACAGTGGCCTCCCCAGAAGGTGAGCAGAAGCCCTAGAAAAAGCACACGCTAGGAGATCTGAGGCCTCCCTAAAAGCCCCTCCGCTGTCTGGAAAACTGGAAGATCCCCATCCTCCACCTGAGGCTGCTGCAGGCGGGGGGGGGGGGATGACGGGAGGGTGTACGTGGGCGTCCTCACCATCCACCGCCAGAAGACCAGCTCTGTGCGCCGCCACGCCAGGACCGCCTCCAGGCGCCGGTTCGCACACTCCAGAGTCCGCAGCAGCTGAAAGGCAAACGGCAGCTGGGCTAGAACCTCACACCAGACCCCAGGGACAGACGCAGGACAGACACAAGACCCAGCACACGCTGGACCCAGCACACGCCCCACCCCTCAACCCTCCACCTGCCTGCACCCAGGTTCTCTGGCCAGAAGAACAAGCAGGGCACCCTGGTGCGGTGCGGCAACCATAGCCCACCTGTCCTTTCTGCAGCACAGGGCAGCCCCCAACGCACAGCCAGGCCCTGCCTGCCAGACGAGAGCTGGCCCTGCCCTCTGAGGATACCTGTTGTCCCCCACACCAGCCCCGCTGCGAGTCCAACAAGGTCAGGGACAGAGTCCAGGTGCCTCTGAAGCCAAGACCTCCGCCCCACACCCCTCGCTGAATGGGGGCTATATTGGGGGCTGCAGGCAGAGGGGGAGGCCCCAAACTGGGGAGCCAGCCAGCCTCTTGGGGAGGGAAAAACCATCCCATCACTTCAGGGACCCCCTAAGGAGTCTGCCTAGTGGCCCAGGTGGCAGAGAAGGCAGAGCTGAGCCACACTTGACATTCCCAAGCGAAGGGTCTGCCCCATGGCCCTACACAAAGGCACCTGCCCACAGTGTGCCACAGCTGGGCAAGGCGGCTGGAAACGGCCAGACATGGCAGCTGCTCTGCCCATGTGCAGAGAGTGGGCTATCTGCACCAGTGATTCTGGGCCCTGGGGCAGGGGGCACCCCTGTGGGGACAGGCCCTCTGCACCTGAATCCTGCCCACTCCACCCTTCCTCCCAAGGAACCCAGAGTGTGAACCAGGCTGCAGGGGTCTGGGACTCCAGCAGTGGGATGGGGGGCAGATAGGGATGGCCTTGAACACCAGGCTCAACCCAGCCCACCTGGGGAAGAGCAGAATGGAGCAGAGCAGAGGCAGTCAGAGAAGATGAGAACAGGGAGGTCTGTGAGCGGCGTGGGAGCTGGAGCAGGCTGGGGCCACCCACATGCCCACCCAGGCAGGCCATGAGAAGAGCAAAGACCCCATGGGGACAGATGCCTAAACACCCCCAACAGGAGGACGGTCACCTAACAGAAGAGCAGCAAACTAACAGAACAGATGGACAGTCACCTAACAGAAGGGCAGTCACCACAGTTTCCATGAAGCTAAGGGCCCCAGGGGCGGGAGCAGGCAGGAGAGGAGGGTCAAAGACACCCCTTACTGCCCCTCCCACCCACCCCCAAGTGCTGTGGTCTTCACGCCTGCCAACCTCCCCAACGCACTGCCCTGAGCGGGGAGAGCAGGCTGCAGGCAGAGCCCTACCAGGACCCAAGGGAGCCGCCAGTCACCCAGCAGCAGGCCTGGCTGCTCACACACCAGCCACAGATCCTTCCAGAAGGTTCTGGGACTCATCCCAGGAGTGCAGGAGAAGTACAAGCCCTTCAGGTAGGCCAGGTCCAGGTTTCGGGGATTCCCACTGCAGAAACCCTGGAAGGAAGCCAGCCCATGGCCCCAGTCCACCTGGCCAGCACCGCACACAGCTTCCAGGAGAGGACAGGGCCTCACCTCCAGGCCCCCCAGCCCACCACAGACGGTGGTCTCCACAGAGGCTCCCTGGGCAGGAGCAGGCTGAGGCCTGGGCAGCCTCTGCTCTGCCCCAACCCAGGGGTCCCAGGGGCCAGAAGCCTGGGCTTTGCAAAGCCACCTCTACAAGGGAGGCAAGGCCAAGGGCAGACCGGGGTGCCCAGATGCTGCCTCAGCACCGCCAATGCCAATGCAGGCCGACGGAGTGGGTGCCAGACCCACTTCAGCCAGGGATAGGACCAGCTGGTAAGCAGGCCCTGTGAGCCCGTAGAGCGGCATGCAGTTCCCCAGGGTTGGGGCTGCAGAGTGGAACGCACAGGCCCTTGCCATGAGCAGGAAGCCACAGCAGACATAAGGCTGGGGGCTGGGAGCCAGGCCATCCGCCTCTGACCCCTGGGTACCCCTGGTCAGGCCTGGGATGAGGTATAGGGGCCAAGACTCTGGAGTTGGAGAGGGAAGAGGCAGAGAGGAATGGGCCTGGAAGAAGGGGTCACACCAGCCCTGAGCCACAGCACTCCTGCCTGGCCGTACCCACCTAGAGCTGGGCAGTGCCAGTCTGTCACTCAGGACAGTAGAAAGCCCAGCCCAAGTGGGTGGCCCACGCCTGTAATCCCAGAACTTTGGGAGGCTGAGCCAGGTGGATCACCAGAGATCAGGAGTTCAAGACCAGCCTTGCCAAGATGGCAAAACCCCATCTCCACTAAAAATTAAAAAAAATTAGGCAGACAGGGTGGTGCACGCCTGTAGTCCCAGCTACTCAGGAGGTTGAGACAGGAGAATCACTTGAAACCAGGAGGTAGAGGCTGCAGTGGGCTGAGATCACACCACTGCTGCAATCCAGCCTGGGCAACAGAGCAAGACTCTGTCTCAAAAAACAAATAAAATAAAAAGAGCGGCTGCCAGCCCTTCCCTGTCCCCTGAAACCAAGCTGGCCAAGAGGAAGGAGCCAGTGATGATGGGTGGGCAGACCCCCAGAAAGAAGGAGGAAGGTGGAAGGCCGGCAGGGAGGAGGGGAGGGGAGGGGCAGGGTGAGAGGAAGTGGCCATCCCTCGGGAAGACGCCTGGGGCTAAGGCAACTCTGACACTTCTGCCGCTGTCTGCCCAGGGTCACATGGCCACCCGGGGCTCAGAGCCAGGCTTTCCTCCAGGTCTGTGTTATCCAGGGCTCAGGATGTGCCCGGGACCACAGAGCCCGGTAGCCTGGAGCTGTGTCCCCTGGTTGGCCCCAGGGTCGCAAGCAAAATGGGGCCTGCAAGTCTCCAGGGCCTATGGGGCTGGCTCCAGCTTGGCAGGCTCCGCCCAGTATACCCATGTGCATCTGGCCTTGGGCTCTGAACGGCAGCTGTCCCTGCCACGGTCAGCCCTGTGCCCAGCCCTTCACCCAGTGTGGGCTAGTCCCTGCACACCCCCAGGGGTCCCTGCCACACCAGGTGAAACCTACTTGAGGTGCCAACACCACTGGCTCACACCTTCATTCCAGCAACCTGCCCTCAGCCAGCTGCCGGCCTAGCACAGGTTCCTGTGTCCCTGGGCCCCCACCCACACCCTGCCTGGATTTGTGGAAGGGGGAGCGGCCCGTGAGGCTAGGAGAGGCCCAGAGGACACGCCTATCACCCATGACAGCAATGATGGATGGCAGAAACGCAGAGACACCCACTCCCTGGCCCCCCTGGGCTCCTCCCACCTCAAGCAGTGCCGCCCCAGCAGCTCACCCGCCCTCACCTGCTGGCCTCCCTCTGGGTCCCTGAGCATCTCTGCTTCAGTGACGGACAGATGACCAAGGCTCTGGTCCCCATGGCAGCCACGTGTGTACAGGTGGATCTGAAACAGGCAGTACAGACTCCAGGCTGAGGGGGAGGCAGGCACCTCCCCCAGCACTGAACTCCACCAGTCCAGGAAGGTCAGCCTTCAGAGTCCACCGCACAGAGGCGGAAACAGGGCTCGGAGCTGGCCACTCCACCTGAGGCTGTCAGGGCTGGGCTGCATGCAGGACCGCTGTCTGCACCGCTGGGGCCTCCTGCAGGGGGGGCCAGGCAGCTTCACTGATGGCCTCCCCACCCCCCCAGCTCCCAGGCAGCAGCAGGATTGCAGTGGGGCGCCCTGGCTTCCCCCGAAGCATCGGAGGAGGAACAGCCTCCGGACAGGCTCACAGTGGGGATGGGAGTGACTGCTTGGATCTAGGGCTGGAGGGCAGCACAGAGGGGCATGTAGGTGAGCATGGTGGGTGGTGTCAAAGCCAGGCCCGACAGGGTGGGAGGTCCCTGGAAAGGCCAGCTGAGCAACAGACCCTCTGCAAGGCTGGGAGCCCGCTGCTGCCACAGAAGCACCCGTCAGCCCTGGCCTCACAGTGGACATGCTGCTGGGTACCTGTGACCCTGAGCCTACCCCTACCACCTTCGGGGCCCCACAGGCACTGCCCACCCCCAAGTCAGCCCCAAGCAGGATGTGGCGGGAGCAGGGGGTGTCCCCCTCCCCTCCAGTGCCCAGGAGGGTATGGCATTCATGGCACACAGCCCATCACAATGTTTAGTGACAGAGCCGGAAAAAGCCTCTGGTGCCTTTCAGGAACAAGAAGGCGAATTCTGTGAGCTGACACCAGCTTCCACCCTGCCCACCTTCATCCTGCCCTGGACCCCCACAAGGACCTCCTGGAACCACGTCAGGCTCCGGATAAGCCCAGGCAGGAAGGCCACATCCAGCCAAAAGCCCATGCCAGGCCTGGCAGGATGGGCCACAGGGACTGGCAGCTGGCGGCCTGCAGCACAGGACACAGCCCCCGGGTGGAAGCCCTGTGCCAGCTCTACCTTGCTCAGAAGGGTGCACTGTTCCTGCTGACTGGACACCAGCTGGCGCCAGCGGAACCGCAGCTTTCCCATCAGCCACTGCACATAGCGGACATCCACAGGATCCTCTGCTCGCGCCTGGGGTGCAGGTGGGCCAGGGCTGGCCAGGGCCTCACACTGGAGAAAGACAACGGTCAGGACCTGCTCCCACCCACCCTGCCCCCAGGAAGAGCCAGGATGGAGAGGGCAGTGGAGGCACAGCCAGGAACAAAGGGTGCTTTCAGCAGGCAGCTGGGTAACCCCTTGTGGGACTGGCCTGAGGGTCTGGGCAGGAGACACACAGGGGGCTAGCCCAGGCCTGCCCTTGTTCTGGCCCCAGGAGTTGAGACCAGGGCTGGCTCGGCCTACCCTCACCCACACGCACCTGGCACACAGTCATCTCATCACCCAGAGGCACTCGGGTCTGGGCCAGCATCTGCTCAGGCACAGGTCCTCGGGCCAAGAGCCAGGACAGAGCCAGGAGCAGCTCCCGGCTGCCCTGGGAGCCATCCTCAGGGAGCTGTGCCAGTGCCAGCCGCGGGTAGCCCCGGGAGCGCAGTGCTGACTTCACCAAGCGGGCTTGGACCTCTAGGATAGAAGACCACCAGCTCAGGGGACCACAAGCCTGGAAGTGATGCCACCTGGATGCCTCCAGAGACCCCTACAGGTCACTCGAGCAGGGGCTCAAGGCCGAGCTCATAAGAAACTATGGTGGGAGAGCTGGAACTCAGATCAGGATGAGGAGGCCAGGGGGTAAACGCGGATGGGCCCAGGGCTTTGTAGGAGCAGAAACAAAAAATACCCAAGGGGGTGGAGCTAGAGCCTACCAGGGGTGGGGCTAACTTGGGAAGGCGGGGCTCTGCGGGAGTGGGGCCCTTGCCACTCGGGTGGGTGGGGCCAGAGCCTGCCAGGGGCGTGGCTTAATGGGAAGGCGGGGCTTTACAGGGGCAGGAGGGGGCCAGCGCTACCGGGTGGGTGGGGCCAGCGCTACCGGGTGGGTGGGGCCAGCGCTACCGGGTGGGTGGGGCCAGGGCCCGCCAGGAGCTGGGCTTACCCTGGGCGAGCGAAGCCAAGGGGTTGTCCAGAGGGAGTGGCACGAGCACGCGGAAGAGAAGCTGCCAGAGCGCGGCGGTCTGCGGAAAATAAAAAGTGGGCAGTCAGCGGAGCCGGCCCAACTCCCTGCTAGGGCCCTGGACCCCACCCGGCCCGGCTGCCCTCCGCGCGAACGTCACCGCCTCCGGACGGTCGAACTTGGCGCGGCGGAAGATCTCGGGGCTGGGTCCCGAGGGCAGCGACCGACTCAACGCGGCGATGGCCTCAGGCAGGGCCGCGGCCCGGGCCCCAGCCGCGGGGTCCACCCGCCGCCGCCGCCTCCCCATAGAGCCAGCACCAGCCTCCTTCGGATCGCCCGCCGTCGCCGCCGCCGCCCGGGACCTGCGCACAAGCATCGCACGGGCCGGGTCTAGCGCCCAGGCTGGGACCTGCACCCAATAGCCGCAAGGGCCGTGTCTAGCGTCCAATCAGCGCGCCGGCTGGACCTGCGCCCAATCACCGTACGGGCCGCCCGGGCTAGCGCCGCGCTGGCCGGGTCTTTCACCCAATCGCCGTGCTAGCCGGACCTGCATCCAATCACCGCGTCGGCAGGGACCCGCCTTCGAGGCCCGGCCCAATGAACGGTTTCCCTTGAGTTTGAGTGTAGTCTAATTCTGTCCCGTGCGGACCCACTTCCGGGCTGATGGCCCGGCCGTCGGTATGTAGAAGTCCGCGGAGTCCGCCCTTGCCGACTCTACCGTCACGAACCCGACTCCCCGCCTCGCCCAGACCCCGCCCATCAGCGTCTCACGCCCCTGGCAACCTAGCAACCGCCCGGCTGCAGCGCGCAGACTCCCGAGGGCGCCCCCTGGGTCCGCAAAAGGCAGCGCAGCCGGGCCCCACGGAGCCAGAGCCGACGAGCCTCGCCCCTCCGCGCCGCCTCCCCGGCCGGGCCGCCAGGAGGCGCCCGGAGCCCGCCACGCCTCACAGCGCAGCCCCGGGTGCTGCCGGCCCCGGGATCCCGGTGCGAGGTCCCAGGCAACTCCCCCGCCCCGAACGCCCGGCCCCGGCCCGCCGCCGCCTCCGCCGGCGCTCCCGGTCCTCGCCCGCCCGCGGCCTCGCGTCCTTCTGCCGCCGCCACGGAGCAGCCCCGGAGGAAGCCGGCGCGGGACGCAGCCGCTGCCCGAGCCCCGCTGAGCCGGGCCCGCGTGCACGGGCGGCCCCGAAAGGCGCGGGCCGGAAGAAGCGCGGGGCCGTCTGCGGGGACAGAAGGTCGGGCCGGCTCGCGGCCAGCGGCGTCTCCGGGCATCCGTGTAGACCGCGAGCCGCGCGTCGCCGGTCTCTTCCCGCGATGCCCCTGCACCTCCCCGGGGCTGGAGGGCGGCGGCGAAGGCGGGCGGGAAACTCAGTCCTCCCTGGACCCCCAGCCCTGGCTGGCCGCGCGCACGCGAGGCACAGCCCGAGGAGTCCCGGCCCCACCTCCCGGCCTCCTTCGCCCCCATTTCCTCCTCCAGGTAGCCCTCCTGGCCCTCAGGGCCCCACCCGAGCAGGTCCCATCCTGTCCCTCCCCGCACACCCTCCGGCCTCCCCCGCCCGCAGCCTCCTTCCCTTTGGCGCATCGCGACCTCCTTCACGGCGCCAGCGCCAGGAGGAAGCCCAATCTCCTTGCCCCGCCGGCGGCTTCCTTGAAGCCAAGGGCCTCCTCCTCCGAGCGCCTCTGCACCTGCGAGCTCCCCGGCGGCAGGAGCCCGGGGGGTGGGGGCGGGGTGGGGGCCCACGGCGCCACAGGAACCTGGCAGGAAGCGTGGGGGGTGGCGGGCCCCTCTGCAGCCTTGCTCCGCGCTGTCCCAGCCCCGCGCTTGCAGATTTCCTCTGCACCAGGTGTCGCTGAGTCAAAGCTCTCAGTTCCCGCAGCGCCACCCACCACCGTCCAGAACGGAGGCCTCACCTGGGCACCCCGGCACCCCCCTCCCCTGCCCCCAACCCACCAAAAGCGCTGTGGTTCCCAGCTCTTGGGATCCCAGGGATCTCCCAGGCACCCCACACACCCCACCCTGGGCTACCCTAGGCTGCCCCCACGCCGCACCTGTCCAGCGGAGCCAGCGGCACACCCACCGCCACCCTAGGGCAGGGTGAGGCCTCGGCTCTTGTACATCAGTGGGTGTCCGCAGGGGTGGCCTTCTGCTAGGGCCAGAATCTAAGTGGCCAGTGTGGGGAAGGGAGCCTCTGAAGGTGGCCCAGTCAGCAGCGGCTGGCTGAGTTGACAAGGGAGTTTCCCGAAGGACCCTCAGCCCCTGTGCACGGCCAGCACTCAAGTTCCCCGCTGGACAGCGGGCCACAGGGTAAGTCCCTGGGCAGAGGGTAGATGGCAGACGAGGACTCACGTGGGGCAGTGGTGTCTGGGTCAGGGGCAGAGCAGCCTCAGGCCCCTGCAGAAGCCCGGCCTGGACTGGAGGGGTGGGGAATAAGGACAGGGTTGGGGGGCAGGAAGGGGGAAGGCTAGGAGTCCCCACAGCTCCCCTAGAGCCTCTCAGAAACGGAACCAGTGAGCTGATTCATCCCCCTGACCCAAGGCCAGCCCCGCCTTGCCAGCCCCACCCGTCCCCAAGCCTCTCAAAGCCTCCCCTCCTGCTCCCCAGAAGACCAGGAGAGGTCAGGGGCACCTCTGAGGGTCTGGAGGTTGTGGAGGTGGGCTCAGAGCAGCAGGGCTGGGTGCGGGAAGTCTAGGGTGGCCTGGACTCACTCTGCACACGGGGCCCGGCCTATGAGGCCCTGGAACAGTGCCCTGGGGAGGGCGATACACAGGAAGTGGGAAGTCACCTCTGTCCCCGCCTTGGAGGTGCCACTGGCAGAGCTGCGGCCAGAGCTCCACTGCAGCCCCTTTGCACACCCCGGCTCACCCAGCACGCGCGCGCGCACACACACACAGGTTATCCACGTGTTCAGGTTTATTGAGGGCATTAGGGGCTACAAGGGAGCCCTGGGCATCTGGGGACGAGGCCTGGCATTTGCGGGACAGTGAGTGGCCCAGCCAGCGGCCAAGGATGGGGTCTCCGCCACCTGTGGAGAGAGACAGGCACAGACGTGAGTGTAGCGTCCACGGCCTCCCTTTGGACCCCATGAGTGGTCAGGCCTCCCTGGGAGGAAGCATCCCCAACCCGAGAGTAGAACCAGGGGGCAGGACAGGGGTGGGGTCCTACCTACCCGGTTTACTTGAAAGTGTGGCTCTCAGCTCCACCCCGCCCAAAGCCTGCAGAGAAGGTGGAAAAAGTCAACAGGGAGATACGGGACTGTGGGGTGGGCAGGGACGAGAGGCGCGGGGTGCATACCTTTAGGCCCAAACATGGCGGAGTAGCAGGGATGGTTGCAGTAGGGTTTGCCTTCGTGCTGCAAAGAGAAGGGCCGTGAGGGGGTGCCATCACCCCTGGGCCCTGCCACCAGGGTGGGTCCCACCTACCTCAGCGTGGCCGCCGGAGGTCAGCGTCTTCCCACATTTCTCGCACTTCAGGCAAGGCCGATGCCAGTCCTTGCCCAGAGAGGTCACCCTCTCAGCTGCAGAGGCACAGACGGGCCCGTGAGACGCTGGGGGACTCCGCGCACACCCACCACTGGCGTACTCGCCTCTTGCAGCCAGCTCTGCCCAAGCCCTGTGCACTGGGGGTCCATCCTCCCAGGCTGGCAGCCCCCTCAGGTCTCAGCCGCCTGTCCCATGAGGACAGAGCCATTACAACCGAACAGCACCAAGCTCCAATCCCCAGAGCCAATACAACCGGCCTGGTGCCGGGGCCACTGGGGGGTGCGGCCCCGAGTCTTGCTCCTGAGGGCTGGGTGGGGCTGAAGGGCGGGGCCCAGGGTCAGGGGTCCTGGCTGGGTCAGGAAGGCCCGGGCCAGGCTGCGGGCTTTCAGCCCCCGGCCTCTGCGGTGGCAAGGTGGAGCCTGCGGGAGCCCTTCTCCAAGGCGAGGACGGGGGTGACTTCCCACTTCCTCCCTCCCCTCGGGGCGCGCGCGCGGGGCAGGAAGGCGGGAGTCAGGGATCGCGCCCCGGGCGTCGGTTTCCGCGTCTGTTTCTACTTTGCATTGGGAGGCGCGGCCCCAGGCTCGCGTTCCTTCCGGCCCCACGGTCCCCACGGGTCCCCCACCCAGGGTGCGCGAGAAGAGACGGCAGAGACCGTAGGGCCCAGAGACGCGGAGGCTCAGAGCCGGAGGCAGCCCGCCGAGCGCAGCAAGACCGCGAACCGGCAGCGATCGTGCGGCCTTCGGACGCAGGGGCCTCCACCCTCCTCCCAGGGCAGGCGTGCGCCGGGCTGTAATGTCTGCTCCAAGGCGGCGCCCAGGGGACCCAGCGCCCCAGTCCTCCCGAGCAGCCCCCAGCCCCGTCGCCCCTCAGCGGCGCCTCCTCGCGGGGCCGGCGTGCGCGCACTCACCGAAGTACACCTCCTTCTCGCACTTGGGGCACTTGGGCATGGCAGCTCCGGGTTCGGTGCGGGTGGCGGCGGCTGGGGCGGGAAGGGCTGCAGGCGCGAGACTGGGAGGGTCGGGCGGGTCTGCGCCTTTCAGGGACCCCGGGACCCCGCCCCTTGGAGACCCCGCCCCTCACGCCCCGCCCACCAATCCAGGACTTGGACCCGGGGGACCTCGGATCCAGGCCCACGGCCGGAGAAAGGTCATCTGGTCCACCCCCGCCTTCAGGCTGGACCCGGACCTGGCTGAGGACAGAGCAGAGGGCGGTGGAGACTTACTGACCCAGCGCAGCTCCTCCGGGAGTTCAAGCCGCGCCCCTAGCCCGGCAGGAGCCAGGCTCAGGGCAAAAGGCTCCCCCGAAGCAGGAAGCCCCCTCCGCCCCCGGCCCCAGCCCGGATCAAACACCTCTAAATGCAAAGAGATGCAAAGCAGCCCACGCTGATCCTGCCCTCGCCAAGACGGAGGGCCGGGGACAATTGCCGGAGAGTCCCTGTCGCCCCCACTGAGGAAGCCACTCTGGCCTTCATCCCACGCAGGGTTAGGAGTTCGCCCCCCTCAGCCCCTCGCTCTGGAGGGACATCCCGCCTCTGCTAGCTCCCCTGATCACTGCTCTGAGAGGTCCATCCGACCGCAGCGGGGACTCCCAAGGAGTGGAGCCATAGCTTGAGGACCAGTGGCTGCGGGGCTGGGGTTTGCGGTGGACAAAGGAGAGTTTGGCCACCCCCAGGCCGGCTGGAAGATGGTCGGCCGGGCGCCGGGAGGGCCCTTATCTCTGCAGGAAACGCCCAGTTTGGCCAGAATAGTCCAAGTCCACTGCCCAGGTGGGGTGGAGGCTGAGCCCGGTGCCAGGCAGAGGCTGTCCCGCCTCACCCTCCCAGAGATCAGGAAGGCCAACGGGCCGCTGGCCCTCAGGCTTGTGGGGCAGCCCTCCAGCTGACCAGCCAGCCTCAGGTTGGGGGCCAGGGTCAGCCCACCAGCCCCCTCTCCTCTCAATGGGCAGGGGAGCCCTCTCTCTACAGGCCCTTCACCTCCGAGCTTCGTGGAGCCCCGAGCCCAAGCCCCCACAGCACAAGGGCTCCTGCCCTTCCTCCCTGCCCCCATCCCTCCAGTCAGCCATGTCAGCCATCATCTTATCTCCCCTTGACCTCCACCTCTGGGCCTGTGCCAGCACTGTCCCCCACCAGGGGTGCTGGACACCATCGTCCCAGGCCTCAGGAGCCCCAGCTTTGCCCTAACTGCACCTGTGATCCCAACTTCACTTTCCCTGAAGCCCACCGCCCCACAGTCAGCCCCTCCAGGCCTACCCTGCCCTGTCCACCACCAGGCCCCCCTTGGGGAGAGGACAGGAGTAGCAGGGTTGTAGGGTGGCGGAGGCACGGGTGCCTGTCCTGGAGGCCACACTGCAGAGACCCCCACCGGCACATCGGCCAAGGCCACATCCTGCTCACCCCCCTCCTGGCATCCCCCCTCTAAGGCCACTGTTCTGTCCCCAACTGGGGCTAAGTCCTGGGGTCTGATAAGACATTCCACAGGAGCCCACTGGAGCCCTCCCCTGCCCCATTCCGAGACCCCTCAGAGGCAAGGTTTCCAGAGCAGGGGTGTACTCCTGCCCGGCAACCTTGGAACCCCAGTCTCCAGCCCAGTGAGCCTGGAAACCCACTCTCAGGTCTCGGCCCACCGGCCATCTCCACCAAGTCTGGGTACCATGGAACAAACCTACAGACAGGCAGAGGCACTGAGAAGGGGGAGAGGCCAGGGGAGCCCACATGGTTTTGGGAGGCCGGGGGCTCTGTCACTGCACTTCCCCTGGGGTATGTGGTGCCCACAGGCCCCAGGGTGGCCGGCACCACCATCCACACCCCCACCAGGGTAACATACTCTGGGTGCAGAAGTGTAGGGTGGGTGCCTGAGGCACAGATGTGCCTGGTACCCTCGGGCATACCTGTGTGTGGGTGTGTCCATCTTTGGGGTCTCTGGGGTGCCCGAGAGCATTTGTCTGCCCGTTTCTGTCAAGCCCCCTACCGAGCCCACCCCAGGTGCCTTGTGGCTCATGTAGAGACAGTGGCCAGGGCAGATAAGGACAATGACCCAGTCCTTGTCCTCCCTTCTACCCCCTACCCCGGGATGGCCCCTTCCCCCACACTCTGGACTCCAACCTGCCCTGCCCATGGGGGAACCCCCCCCTTAAAAACCAGGGTGATGAGTCCCTTCCTGGCCTTCCCGGCTGTTGCTTCCTGTCACCATGGTCACGGGTGGGGTGAGGTGGGGTGGGGGGCAGGATGCCTTCACCATGGGGCTGCACCTTCTGTGTTGGCTCACAGCAGTTTTTCCACTCCACTCAGACACCCACACTCACAAACACAGATACACACACTGACACAGACACAGATGTAACACAGAGACACACACACACAGTCACAGACAATCCCTGGAACCCTCCCCAAACTAGCTAAAGATGGACGTGCCCCTCAAACCCCCTTTCTCCTGCACTCCCCCACACTCTGTGCTCCAGGGGTGGGGACCCCTCCTCAGCCTCAGGAGCCCACCTTCCAGTTCCTTTCTCCACCTCGACTCCATGCTCACACCATCCCACCCCCAGGGCCCAACCCGTCTGGGCAGGTCAGGATCCTGCCAACTTCTGGGACACACCGGCCCCAGCCCAGGCACCAGGCCTCTGGCTTCATAAGCCTGCCTGGCTCTCACCTGCCCCGGGGGCACTGATCTGGTCAATGGGGCCAGCCTGACTCCAGCTCACTGGGCTAGCCAGAGACCCCAGCGCCTGCACCTCTCAGCCCACCTTGAGAGATGCTGGTGGAGTTTGTGGCAGAAACAAACAGAGGACAGAATGGTCAGGACAGGGACACAGAGGTCCCCAGCTGCTCACCCCAGGCTGCCTCTATGCGCAGAACGTTCCACCCTGCACCTGGACAGCAAGAGGGCACTAAAACTGGGGCTGGTGGGGCTGCTACAGGGTTCCAGGTGCATCGAGAGGCCTCCTCCGTCTGCTCAGCCTTTCCTCTGCACCCTGGCCTACTCCTGCTGGCCCTCTGGCTGACGCCTGCAGGGGCTGGGGTGTGGCAGCCAGGTCTGGGCTCCAGGAACCAGGGTGACAGAGAGGCTGGGCTGGGCCCCGCTGTCCACCCCTCCAGAACCGTTCTGCTCCTCTGGGCCCACAGCCCCTCCCTCTGCAGACTATGGCACTCGCCTTGGGACTGCCCCTCCCTGTCCCTGAAGCCCTCCCCACCCCCTCCCGCCCCCATGCCCAGGCTGAGGGTGTGGGCAGGTGTGAGGTGCCCTCCCAGACCTGGGCACTCTGCAACCAGGTGCCTTGCTTTGGCCAACACACCCAGCTCAGCCCTCCCCAGGGCCCACCTTCCTGCCCCTCCCCCTCAGCCCAGCTGAGTCTCAGATTCTCCCAAGTTCCCAGGGTCTATTTTAAGCTGCTTGTCTCCCGGGACCCCCTGTCTGGACTGTGGTCTGGCCCTGGTTGGGTGTGCTAGGTGCAATGGCCGTTCCTGCCCTGGGCTGATCGAGCGTGGGGTTGGGATGGGACAGGCTTCCCAGACAGGTCCCTCCCGTCCTCTGAGCCTCACCTCCAGCAGAGGTGGGAAGGCTGCTCCATTCCTCCTCTCCCAGAGCACACATGGCAAGGTGTGAAAGGAGGGGGCTTCCTCAGCCAGCCCTGCCCCCATGGGGCTGCACCCCTGCCTGGATTCCACAGACTGGCCAGATGGGGTGCCCCTGCCCTTGAGGCTGGACTTGGGACCAGCCTCCTACAGCCTTAGTCTAGGAATTCCAGAGGCTGGAATTCCAGCTTCCCTTCCCCGTAGTTGGACCCCACACCCGCACCCAAAGCCCATCCGGCACTGGGCAAAGTGCTACCCATACCTGGCTGTCCTGGTCCCCAGCCAGCCCTTGCCTGTGCCCTGCCCTCAATGGTCTGGAGCTAGGAGCCCACGCACTGGATGATTTCCTGACAATCCACCCCTCAGGCTACCTCGGCCACCAGTAAGCTGGACCCAGGGCCAGGAGGGAAGTGTGTCCTGCCAAGTCCTGTAGAGGGTCAGGGCGCTGGTCTCAGCTGTGTCGAGTCTGAATCAGGGCAGGAATTTGGGGAGACCCTGGGAGCGAGGGTACTCAGGGCTGATGCTGCAGTCACTGGCCCAGGGAAGGCCGGGCAGGGCCTGGAGAAAGGGTGCTGGGGGCTGGGGCAAGGGCCAGAGGAAGTGGACACAGGGGTAGCTGCAGGCTGAGCTGGCCCCACAAAGAGGCCTGGCTGGGGACACCATCGAGGACTCCACCAGCCCAGCTTGGAGTGGGGTGTACCTTGGGGGATCCTGGCCAGGAGGCACAGGAAGATTGGATGGCGAGGGTGCAGGTGAGGAGCAGGTGAAGCGGCACAGCTGGGCTCCACAGAGCAGCTATGGTGTGAGCTCGGCCCCACAGGGGCACCAGAGCCTCATGGATCCCTGGACTTGGTTCCCAGGGGTTCTGATGGAGAGGGATGGAGCACATGGTATTTGAGTCGCCTCACAGGCTGGGCATGGGTCCAGGTCAGGGAGAGTGAAGGTTGAGGCAGAGCAGTCCCAGAGGCAGGAACAGAAGAGGAGGCACACCCAGGAACAAAAGTGCCCATTCCAGATTCCCTCCCTTTTAGGGGTTGTCTGGGGCTGTAGGCACCCAAGGAAGCCCCCGGCTGGCAGACAGCTGGGGGGGACAGATAGCTTCCTGGAGCTAGAGACAGCAAGGGAGCCCTGTTAGTGTCATGGGCATGCAGCCACCCCCAGTGACACCACCCAGCGACGCCGTCCAGACAAACAGTAGCTGCAGCCGCCCCGGTTTCCATGACAATGACTTGAAACAAACACAGCAGGCAGGCGTCATCCTCAGACCCGCCCCGCAGGAAGCGGTCCTGCCCTAGCCAGGCCTGGGGGCGGTGCTGCTGTCCAGGCGGGTCAGGGGCTGATCTCTGGAGGAGACCCCTGCCCATATCATCCCCCCAACCGACCCAGGTGGGTCTTCTAGCACACAAATGGTCCTCCCACCCTCCCCCATCACCGCCCAGGTTTTAGGAAAGGGCACACCGCCCACCACTGTCCTCAGACATAGTTTCCACTGGAGGCTCCCAAGGGAGGAGGACCCAGCTGAACCCTGGAGTCCCCCCGCCCCACACCACAAGCAGAAAGGAATTTCCCATGCAACCCTGGGAGCCCGCAATAAGGGTGGGCACTCCGGGAATTCTGAGTTCTCCCAAAACAACCCTCCCACACCCCCCACAAGGAAGCCTTGGCCTGGCAGGAGGGGGTGAGACGGGGAACCATCCAGCCCCTCCTGTGAGCCAGGGTCTGGAGTCTGCCTGACCACCCCTCTCCCTGGGGTTGGGAGTGGCCGTGCCTTCCGCGATGTCAGACCCCAGATGTTCTGGCCGAATTCTAGGTGGGAGGAGACACAGTGGCCGAACCGGGTGCCTGGCTGGAGGGCATCTGTGGCATGGCTGGACACCAGAGCCAGCCCAGGACCCACCAGGATGTGGTGTCTGCTCTTGGGACAAAGGGCCCTGAATCCAGGCTCAGCTCCATCAGAGCCCATGGACTGGAGGGTGGCCAGGCTGGGAGCTGTGCCAACGGCTGGGAGCATGGAAGAGGCACAAAGCCCCGGTCGCCCTGTGGCACTGGGGGTAGGGGCCTGGAGGTGGCCAGGTCCGGGTGCCCCTCATTGCAGGAAGGGTAGAGGCATCTTCGGGGTGGCCCAGGGGCAGGGCTCAGCCACTGGGGAAGGTCTTTGCATGGCTGCCCTGTGCTGCCAGAATGGAAGAGCCCGCCCTCTGGTGGACACCCGAGGAGTGGCGCACGCAGAAGGCGACACAGACGTGCAGAGTTGGGGGGAGGGGAGGGCTCCTTGGAGCCACCAGGGTCCCTGGATGAAAGGGCAGAGCCTCGACCACTGAGTAGGCCAGGAGTAAATCGGTCATCACTCAAACCTTCACCAGAACGGGCATGGATTCTGTCCCTGGGCCACACCCCAAGCCAAAGCAGGCTTGTCCACGAATGCCTGCCCATCATCCTATGGATAAAGCTAGAAACAGCCAGGCTGACACTCTCTGCTCCTGCTCTGACCACAGCCCCCAAAGCCTCCTGTGCTTCCCAGTCCAGTCCTGGGCTGCCGGAGACCTCTTCCCCACCCACCCTTCACCAGCTTCCCCATTCTCTGCCCGGGCCCCCTCCCTGCTCCCCTGCCCCATTCCCTGCACTCAGGGGCATATCCTCTGCTCTCAGGACTGAACCGTCGGCGCCTCCCAGGCTCCACAGACCAGGCAGCTCTGGGCTCTCAGGCCTGCTGTTGGCATATTCAGGTTCCAGGTTCAACTCTCCTCCAGGGCTCTGTCCTCCATGGACCCCACCCTCACCAGGCCGTGGCCCACAGATGCCTCCTACCCTCTTTACCTCCTCCCTGCCTGGCGTTCTTGCTTCCTCCCCATGGAGCGGGGGGGGGGGGCACCACCACCCAAACCAGGGACCATGCTCCCTGTCCCCATCTTCCCTCCCCCTCAAAAACATCCCAGGGCCCCACCCCCACCATCACCCTCAGGAGGAGGGCCCAGCCCACAGCACCAGACCCAGAGGCTCTGGCTGGGAGCAGGCATGGGCCGCAGAAAGTGACGTGGTCTCGGGTCTGCAACCCTTCCACAAGCAAAGACAACCTGCAATCCTCAAACCCTTTATTGGCAGCAGGTGAGCCACATGAGGGTGTGGAGTGCTTGTGGGGCACACCAAGCAGGGCACCCCGGAGGGGCGAACTCAGCCAGGGGCACGGTGAGGGCATGACCATCACCCATGAAGGGAGCATAAATAACAGTGGCAGGGGGGTGGGCAGCAGGAGAGGGAGGCAGAGTGGACAGTGCCGCAGGGCCAGGGAAATGCTGGGACAGAGTCACACAGGGGTCAGAGGGTCACAGGACACCCAAGAATGCCAGAGGAGCGGACACAGCAGAGCCTCAGGGATGGGTGTGGTGCTCTGCCGGTGGCCGCCCCTTCTCCAACACGCCCCGGGCTTGCTATAGAACTGGGCCAAGCAGGGGGCCCCTCAGGGTCGGGGCACAGGTGGGCCCACACCTGAAAGCAGTGGCCTAGGGCTGAACCTTGCCTTCAGGGTCTCGGTCATAGATGTAGCTGCCTACGGCACCGGTGTTCACGCCTGTGGAGAAAGGCCGCTGGGGTAGGTGGAGGGAACAGGGCAGAGGGGAGGGCAGGGGGAACACCGAGGACCACCCTGGTCACACTCACCCTTGGGTCCGAAGAGGATTCCATAGCAGGGCTTGTGGCAGTAAGGCTGGCCATCGTGCTGGGACAGAAGGTGGGTGTTGAGGAAGGGGTCCACAGACTCCCCCACCCAACACCTGGAGGCTTGCAGAAAGTGCAGGTCGACTCCCAGCAGCATCGCCCACCCCCCACGCCCTCCTGGAGCTCCTCACGCTTATCCCCGCCACCATCCCTCCCTCCTCGCCCCCAAGCCCCCGGCACTCCCCTCACCTCCGCGTGCCCACCAGGGGTCAGTGTCTTCCCGCAGCGCTCACAGCGCAGGCAGGGCCGGTGCCAATCCTTGCCCAGAGATGTCACCTTCTCAGCTGGGAAGGGGGAGTGGTTAGGCTGAGCCCTGGGGGTGCAGGTCCTGGGACAGGGGCGACAGGGCCGGTGGTCTGCACTCACCAAAGTACACCTTCTTGCCGCAGCGTGGGCACGTGTTGGGCTCCCCAGTGAACGTGGTGACGCTGGAGGCTGCGGGGCACAAGAGTGAGGTCGGGGCAGGACAGGGGTCCCCCCAACCCCCAGGCACAGCCCCCAGCCCATGCCCAGCCCACCTCTGCTGGGCCCCTTCGGGGGGCCGCTCACTTTCCGCTCCTCCGCTCGGGCCGTGGGGACCTCGATGGGGCCGGTGACCTGCGGCCCCTCCACCAGGGGCTTCTCATAGATGTAGGAGCCTGCACCCCCGATGTTCACGCCTGCAAGTGGGGGCACGTGGGGTGGGGGCCACAGCCAGCTGACGTCTCAGAAAACGGCCCGCTGGGGGCACTAGGAGTCCCACAGTGACCGGGAGTCTGGGCCGGGTCTGGGGGGCCACAACCCGCACCCACACCCCCCAACGCCCCTCCCGGCGGGTCCCAGGGCAGGCAGGGCTGCCGGGCTCACCTTTGGGTCCGAAGAGCGTGGCGTAGCAGGGCTTGTGGCAGAACGGCTTCCCGTCATGCTGCAAAGGGGCGCAGTCAGGGCCTGCCCGGAGGTGGTGGGAGCCGCGACCCCTCCCCGCCCCCGCCTGTGCCGCACAGGGGGTTACCTCAGCGTGGCCCCCGGGGGTCAGCGTCTTGCTGCAGCGCTCACACTTGAGGCAGAACTTGTGCCAGTCCTTACCCAGGGAGCTCACCTTCTCGGCTGCGTGGGAGGGCGGGGGAGGGGTCAGAGCGGGCCCAGCCGCCCCCCACTTGGTCCCCACCAGGCAGCCATCACCCCCACACGCTCCGGGCATTCTGACATCCAGGGAGTCCCCGCCAAGCGCCCCCCTTCCACCTGGCAGGCCCCGCACTCCCTCTGGGTCCCGTCGTCCGTCCCCAGCCCCAAACCTGGGAGAGCCGCCTTCACCTTTGAGAGGGCCCCAGGGCTGCCCCACTAATTCCCTCAGTGCCAGTGGTGATGGGGCCTGTGCCTGGCCTGCCTTTGCTCAAATACCTGCCTCCCCAGACACACACCTGCCACCCACACACGCACACACCTGCCACACACGCACACACCTGCCACACACACACACCTGCCTCCCCCACACACAACCTGCCACACACACACCTGCCACACACACACACCTGCCACACACACACCTACCTCCCCACACACCTGCCACACACACACACAACTGCCTCCCACACACACCCCTGCCTCCCACACACACCTGCCACACACACACACCTGCCACACACACACCTGCCTCCCCCCACACACATACCTGCCCCCCACACACCTTCCTCCCCACACACACACCTGCCTCCCCACATACCTGCCTCCCCCACACACCTGCCACACACACACCTGCCACACACACACACCTGCCACACACACACCTACCTCCCCACACACCTGCCACACACATACCTACCTCCCCACACACCTGCCACACACACACCCCTGCCTCCCACACACACCTGCCACACACACACCTGCCTCCCCCCACACACATACCTGCCCCACACACACCTTCCTCCCCACACACACACCTGCCTCCCCACATACCTGCCTCCCCCACACACCTGCCACACACACACCTGCCACACACACACCTACCTCCCCACACACCTGCCACACACACACACCTGCCTCCCACACACACAACCTGCCACACACATACCTACCTCCCCACACACCTGCCACACACACACACCCCTGCCTCCCACACACACCTGCCACACACACACACACCTGCCACCCACACACACACCTGCCTCCCACACTTGCCTTCACCCCACACACACACCTGCCTCCACCACACACACACACACACACACATGCCTCCCCACACCTGCCTCTCCCCACACATCTGCCTCCCCTGACACATCTGACTCCCACACACACCTGCCTCCCAAACACACCTGACTCTCCCCCATATTCCCTCAAACACTTGCCTTACACTCACATACCTGCCTCTCTGGCGCACCTGCTTCCCCACACATATGCTCCCTGCCTCCCTCTCACACCTGCCTCCCTCTCACACCTGCCTCCCTCTCACACCTGCCTCCCTCTCACACCTGCCTCACACTGACTTGCCCTTGATCCCCACCAACTGGGCTCTCATGGGCCTGGCAGCACCCGGATGCTGAGGCAAAGGTGTGGCCCCAGAGCCTCCAGGCAGGACCCTCATCTGTCTGTAGCTTCCTCGTTCTAAGTAAGCCCTAAGCTCTTCCCCCACCCTAACGCCCCTGGCTGACACTGGTGAGGAAGGTCTGAGGCCAGCTGCTGAGGGTGGGGGATCCCCACCACTGCCTCCCACCCCCACCCCCTGTGCTGGGGCTGCTGGGCCGCTTCCCAGTGGACGGAAGCGGAGCCTCCCCAGGGAGCCAGGCAGGAAGAGGTGGGGGGGCAGGAAGGGCCCAGCAGAGACGGAATTCTGAAGGGAAGGGGCCAAGCTGTGGGCCAGGGGGGAGGGAGTGTGGGGGCCGGGCCCACCCTGCCTGGCAGAATCTGGCCAAGCCCCTCAGGCAGCCGAGGACCAGTGGCTCTCCTGGGCCCCTTTCTTACGTAGCAAGTGGCCTGGCACCCCTTGTCTGGCCGACGTCCGGGAGGAGGACGAGGCTAGGGTGAAGCCCACTCTGAGAGGCGCATGGGAGCTGCTCCTGGCAGTGAGATGGGACCCCCAGGTGGCCTACAGGTGCAGGGCCATGAATGCTGGCTCTCCACAGCCCTAGCACAACCCTCTGGGCATGGCCACGGCGAGCCTCCAGGACACCAGCCCAACCGCAAGGCTGCAGCAGCTGAGAGCCCTCGGGCCAGAACCACTCCACTCAAGGAAGCTGGGACACAGGCCGGCAGGTCCCCACCGGGTCCCAGCCAGGGCAGGCGTGTCCCAGCGGCAGCAAGGAGGTCTTGATGGCTGTCGGGGTGGCAGCTGCAGCCCAGGGCTGCCAGCACCACTCCGCTCTGGCCATCTCTGGGACGTGGGCCAAGTGGGGGCAGGGAACTGGGCCTCAAACCCGCTGGGTGGGTCGATGGCCACACAGCACAGGTCCGAGTTGGGAACACAGAATCGATTGGGCCTAACGGATCGGAAGCGCCGTCTGCCCGCTCTGGCCCGCCTGGGCTCTGGGCAGCATCCTCAGTGCACTCTGACGTCCCAGCCTGGGCTCTACTCAGGTGTGAGTTTCGGGGCAGCCTGGTGTGGGGTGGGCAGGATTCCGGACCCTCGTCCTCACCATGCCTCCAGGGCAGGCCAGAAGCCAGCTGCATCTAAAGCGCCTTTGTTTTCCGAGAGCCTGGGCCAGCCAGGCAAGCACAAGGCCTTTCCGGGTTGTCCACAGGACTGTTGGCCAAGGCCCTGGAGAGCCCAAGCTGGCCTGGCCTGGGGCAGAGTCATGGGCAGCTGGACTGCAGGCGGGCCCTGAGGATCATCTCCCACCCTAAGCCTTGCAGAGAGAGACCTCTCGCTGGGACAGGGACGGAGGACTGAGCGGGCTCCAGGCGAGGCGGCCGGAAGCCCCTCGGCTCCCAGCCACGCCAGAAGCACTCCAGGCCAAATCCGGTCCCTCCCCACTGCGAACAGCAAACAACAGCTTCACTCAACCCCCTCCAGCCCGAGAGTGAGCCAGGGAAGCCCAGCGGCCACGCCGCATTCCGGGTCTAGGCCATCAGGGCGAGGGCCTTGTTGGTGGCGGCCCTCCTCTCTGCTTCACTAAGTCTGTCCCCCCCGTGCAGCAGCTGGTGGGTAGGTGGGCAGGGGCATTACCACTCTGGAGAAGGCTGGGCAGGGAATCAACCAGGAGGACCAGGGTGGGAAGGGCACACCCAGGCCCAGGGAGTGAGCAAGCCAGGAACGGGGAGCGTGCCTGGGGGAGGGGCTGCCGACCGAGGGCGCCCGGCGAGACATCCCTCCTCCTGCCACCACCTGCATCCCGTCCAGGGCTGTCCTGACCTTGAGGAGGCAGGGGTCCTGGACACCTGGGCTGCTTGAGCACAACGTCCCTCTCAGGTTCGCGGGGACCCTGGTGTCACACCCGCCCCGCCCTACCCCCGTGTGACACTCCTGGGGAAACTCGCGCCAAGAGAATGCGTTGGGACAAGCCGGAGGCAGAGGCCAAGGTCGCCCCCGCTTGGACTGAATCCCGGCAACAGTCCAGACCCGGCCCAGCCCAGCTCAGCGGAGCCCGAAGTGAGAGTTGAGGGTCACTGTTCCCGGCCACGCGGGCCCAGCCACGTGTTCGCGGGACAGCGAGTGTGGGGGGTCCAGGAGGAAGGGTCCAGGCCCCCGGGGGCGCGCAGAAGGCACCCAGGGCGCACTGCCCCGCCCAGCCCCACCCCACCCCACCCGGCGCCGTCAGAGGAACTGGGGTGCGTCCACGGATCCCCGTGCGCTCCCCAAACCCCGGCCTCATCCCGGGGGAACCACAGGACCCGCCCGGGTGGTCCCTGCGCCGCCCCCACAAGCCGCTTCGGGGTTCGGGTGTGGTCGCCCCGGCTTCCGCGCAGCCCCACCCTGTGGCTTCAGCCGCGTGGGCAGCACGGCCAGCCATGCTCCGGGACGCGCATCCTCCAGCCGGGGCCGGGGCCCGGGCTGGGCGTACCCCGAGTTACGCCGCGACTGTGCGGCGTGGGACTGGCCGCGAAGGGCGGCGGGATGCGCCGGGCGGCCGGGCGCGGGCTCCCACTCGCACTCACCGAAGTACACGGTCTTGTCGCACTTAGGGCACTTGGAGGCCATGGTCGGTGCGCCCGCTCGGCCCGCGCCCTCCGCCCGCTCTTCTGCCGGCCGCCGCCGCCCGCACCCAGCCCCGCCCGCCCTGCTGCCCGCGCGCCCATTGGCTCCGCGGCCGGGGCGGGGCCTCGAGAACCCGCCCCCCCGGGCTGGGGGCGTCGCGGGGGGGCGGGGCGCACCTGCCGGGGATGGCGGGGGGGCGGCCCTGCGCCCCTCGTGCTGGTGGTGGCGTCTACAGGGGCCCGCCCGGGCGACGGCGGCGCCGCACGCGCCCCGGCTGTTTCCATGGCGACGTCGGGGCCGCTTGGCCGGGCCATCCCAGGGGCCGCGGGCGGGGTGCGGGGAGCCGGGCCCTCGGCTCGTGGGGAGCCTTGGTGATCCGGGCCTGGGGTCCGCCACGCCCGGCCCTGGGCGCCCAGGCTGCGTTCCGCTGCGGGAAGGGGTCGCGGGCTCCGGGAGGACCCCACCCCCACCCCGCCGCGCGCCGCGCCCGCCCCGCTTCCCTTTGTTGCTCGGTTACCATAGCAACAGGCGCGCCGCGGGAGCGGAGTCGGATTCCCGGCAGGCGCGGCCCCCACCCCAGCCCCGCCCCGCCCGTGCCCGCGTCCCGCCCCAACACTGTCTGTGGTGCTGAAGGGTTCTCGGGTGGAGGGCAGGGCTCAGGAAGGAAGGCGCCGCCACCGCCAAAAACAGCGCGAGGAGCTGCTGGAAGGGCTGGGGGAGGTCGGCCTCTGCCTCCGAGGCCGGGAGGGGGCGGCGGGCACCAGCGCCAAGGAGCTTGCGCTAAAGGCGTCCTCCCCAAGACTCCCACCCAGGGGCGGCCCGGGAGGCGGTGGGGAGGTAGGAAGGGAAGGAGTGGGCGTGCCCTCTGTGCCCCGGGCTGGGGCAGACACTCCAGTCCCTTCTGCACCGCCTGGGACCAGCTGCGGGCCTCCCGGCCCAGGCCTGACTTTGAGAGGTCAGGCGGGACATAGAGGGGTCACGCCAGTCACTCCACCCCCACACCCCCACCCCGGCCTCCTCCCACCCGGGCCTGCCAGATCTCTCCCCACTGTGCTGCCTCTGCCCTGAAGCCCCGCAGAGCCTGGCCCCAGTCTGGGAAGTTCCACACCCATGGGCTTCCTGGTGCTATGTCCCCCTAGCCCCTTCTCTGAGCCTCCGGGCTCCGGATGAGCCTCGGACTTGGGAGACAGGCAGTACCCAGAACCCCAGTGATCAGGTCCCATGGGGACAGCTGGCTCCGGACGCCCTTCCCCCAATGTCTTGGAGACTGTGGGCTGGGCATGGAGACCTGCCCCGTTTCCTCTGCGTGGTGCACCAGGTGTGTCTGTGAGCTGACCAGTGGCCCTTGGTGCTCCTGGACCAGGCCTTCATGGCAGCCCTGGCCTGGCCCCCGGGGCAGCACTCTCCTTCCTGCACATACACCCTGCAGCCACTGCCATTTCCATGGTGACAGCAGGCCAGAAACATGACCCCCCCACACACCCATGCCTGACTGACCAGCCTGACCAGCTCCCCTCTCTGCACTTGGGACCTGTGCCAGCCAAGGCAGAAGACGGCGAGGAGGCGTCAGCCAGAACCCTGCCTGGGCAGTCCTTCCTCCCTGGCAGGCCCAGGGGTCCCTAGCAGCAGTGCCTTGCCCAGGCTGGATTCATGGGGCCACTGCCAAACCCTCTCCAGCTCCCTGCCCGGTTCAGCCCAGCTTGGAAGCCTGGGGCTAAGCCATTACCCTTCCTGACTTGGCCCCACCTCTGCTCCCTGTGGGGCCTGCTCTGGAGGACAGGGCCCTTCTCAAGGGAGAACACCTGCCTCGAGTTCCCTTACCCTGCCAGAAGAGTGTCTGGGTGGAGGCAGGCCCCTCCCAGGGTGGCAGCAAAGGAATGGCATTCGGCACTGGCCAGGTGCCCTGGAGACACACGGCAGGTGGGGGGGGAGTGGGACAAGGAGAGTGTCCAGCTGCTGCACTGCCCTCACCCCAGCCGCAGTCCCTGGGCAGCAGCCAGAGGCTCCCTGATGCGACGGGCTGGTCTGAGCCTGGCAGGCATGGGTCGGGATCAACGGGTGCACAGCCGTGGCCTTGGTCTCCACCTGTGAGGCTGTGGTGGGTCACAGGCAGGGGCAGCAACAGAGCAGGATGGGCCCCGAGTGGAGAGGGGGCCAGAGGACACGGCTGGTGTGAAGGGAGCTGGCAGGGCCAATGGCTGTGAGTGGGGTGGCATCACGTCCCCAGGCAGCAGTGGTCTGGTGCCTTCTGCCATCCTGTGACACTGGCAGATGGTAGGCAGGGCCCCCGCTCAGCTCCACTGCAGGGAAGCCAGGGCTGGGTAGAGTGGGGGCCAAGAGGCCCCTGGCAGGGAGGGGTGGAGCTGGCAGGCATGACAGCACAATGGCCACCTTGAGACACCCCTGGCCCTGGGGAGCTGCAGCCCTGTGGGATTGCTGGTGCAGGGAGCAGGCTGCTGTCCCATCAGCAGGGAACTCCAAATGAGGACACAGCAAAGCTGGGAGACCCTAACCCTGCTCTCCGCAGCCCGCACCCTTTCTAAGCCCAGGTTGAGACCCCTGAGCAGCTCAGGCCTCATCCAGCACAGGTGGCCAGAGCCTGGCCCTGGGAGGACATTGAGGCTTGGGTGTCTGGCCAGGGAGGGTGTCTAGGGTGGGAGAGGACCCTTCTTCTCAGGGCCTCCCTGCCCTTGGGACAGAGACCAGGGCCTGAGACACATCACAGTCCACATGTGGACTCCAGAAAAGGACAGGACTGGGGGTGGACAAGCTGCTGAGGCCAGCATTGTGGGGCAGGCCTTGGCCTGGGGAGGGGGGCAGCACTCAGGCAGGCGAGGGGGCTGGGGCCTTCACCAAGACCCTGCCCCGTCCTCCAGATCCCTGGGGCTGGAAAAGGCGTCAGAGGCGGCTGTGTCCTTCATGAGGTCGGGGCCGGGAGACACACTACAGACACGTCTCCTCAGGCTGTGGGGTCACTTGAATGCAGGCTAGAGATTCCAGTTGGCTGCGGGGGGCGGGGGTGTGTGTGTGCACTGCAGCTGAGTCCCCAACCCAGTCCTGTCACTGCTGGGCCCCAGCACAAATTCCCAGGGGAGGCCAGGACACCCCCCCCCCTTATCTTTGTCTTCCAGGAGGCAGCAAAAGTGGTTTCTATTTTAATTCCCTGGTGAGAGATTACTGCATGACAGACGCCTGGGTGGGCTGGGTGAGCAAAGGCACAGCTCCAGGGAGAGGCAGAGGAGCCACCCCCGTCCCCCGGAGAGGAGGTGGCGTGGCCCGAGGGGTGGTCTGCAGCCAGGCTATCCACGGGACCCCTCCTTCTGGTGGCCTGGCCTGTCCCTGTCCCTGGGCCTGCAAGTCGGGTGCCCGGGGATGGGCCAAGCAGGGCCTCTGGGAACACGCTTACTGAAATCTGAGCAGATTCTCACTGTTGAGTGACCACCTGCTGGGGGCCGCAGCTCTGGGCAGAAACCCTCGGGCGGCTGGGACCAGGCTCTGCAGAACCAGGAGGTTGGGCCCCCAGCTGGAGCTCTCCAAGGCCTCGCTAGCCCAGCTGTGCTGGCTGCCCTGGTGGGAGGGAGCCACAAGCCCAGGGTCTTCAGCAGGGCCAGCTCTGCCTGGTAGGGGGCAGCCCCAGGCCCACCACTGCAGCCCTGCTCCACAGGGGAAGGGGGCCGGGCCCTGAGACCCCTTGCTGCCCCTTGTGGAGATAGAGGGGTCATGCTGGTCACTCCACCCCCACACCCCCACCCTGGCCTCCTCCCACCCAGGCCTGCCAGACCTCTCTCCTCGTGCTGCCTCTGCCCTGAAGCCCGGCAGAGCCTGGCCCCAGTCTGGAAAGCTCCGCACCCACAGGCTTCCTGGTGCTATGTCCTCGGAGCCCCTTCTCTGAGCCTCCTGGCCCCAGCTGAGCCCCGGACTTGGGAGACAGGGAGAGGGCACTGCGCCAGGCCTGACAGGGAGAGCAGCAGAGCCTGGAGGCCGGGTGGCTCTCCAGGGGCCTCCCGCTCCAGGGCAGGGGCACGGCCAGGGCTGCCCGAGGAGGGTGGGGGCCCCAGGGCCTAAGTCAGGGAGAGGGACTGGGAGCAAAAGACGGGGAAGAACCAGTTGTTTTTTTTCTTTTTATAAGATTTTTTACTTTGTTTCTGTTTAATATGAAAATTACTTGAAAAGACAAGGGGCCAACCCCGCCAGGCAGCTCGGCCGCGCGGTCCTAACATTCCAGGTGTAAGTTACAGAGCTCAAGTTCATCTACAAAAAAAGTAATAAAAATAAAATTTAAAATGGCACCTTCAACAGAACACAACAAAACCTTAGGGCCCGGCCTCCGGGCAGGAAGCCCCGCAGCACAGGGGCACGCGTGGGTGGCCCCGCATCTCCGCTCCAGCCGAAAAGTAAACACGAAGCTAAAAACACGGCTCCTCGGTTCGGGAATAAGTTGGCGGCGCTTCCTCCTCTCCTCCCCAGGGCCGAGGCGCGCGTTGCTCTGCAGGTGAGGGCGGGAGGTGGGGCACTACCAAACTGAGGGGGCGGGCGGCGGGCTGGCTGGGAAGGGCCGCGTGGGCGCTGGGGCGGGCGAGGGTGGGGCGGCCGCAGGCGGGGGCGGCCCCTAGTCCTCGATGACGATGGGCTCGTCGTTGACCGGCGCGGGCGGCGCTGGCCGCAGCGGCAGGGCCTGGCTCTGGCGCAGGGCGATGGGTCTGTAGGGCCGGCGGGCAGCCCGCTTGGTTTCCGAGGACGAGAGCAGTTTGCGGATTTTCCTGCGGGCAGAGGTGGCGGTGAGGGCCAGGACGCTGCTCGGAGCCCGCCCGCCTGCCCCGGGAAGGCCCCACCTGGTCTCCTCCGTGGCCATGTAGAACACGTCATCTGGGGCGTCGATCCAGTTCATCCGCCGCCGCTTGACCGGGGGCAGGGAGCCCCCCCGGATCAGGCGCACTTTGGTGGGGTAGGACTTCCCGTTAAGCAGGAGGTTCCGGCTTGGTCCCTGCAGAGGGGGTGCGCTTCCTGGGCAGCCGGCCGAGGGCCAGCTCCACCTCAACCTGCAGGCTCCTGCTGAGCGGGGCCCCAACCACGGCCGCCTGGAGACCCCCCACCCCACCCCATGAGCTACTCATACTCCC